TAATGCAACGCGTGGTAATTCTAAGCGTAGGAATCTAATGCGTGGTAATCTAACGCGTAGTAATCCAGCATGTGGATATCCAACGCATAGTAATCCAACGCGTGGATATTCGACACGTAGTAACCCAATGCGTAATAATCCTCGCGCTTTGATTGGTCCGCGTTTTTCCTTAATAATTCAAAAACGAAGCTTCAAACCCCATTTTTGCAAAGGGAAATCTTATTCAGAATCACGTCGGCTACCCTCCATTTCAGGGACCTACTGTTGTGAGGCACCCTGTATAACGCTACTACTCTATTAATTAACTTACACAATTATACTATTAATTAATTTATGCCTTTTATCCATGCAATAAGTATATTATTTATCCTCTAAGATTTATATGTTTATTTAGATTAGATCTCTCCTAATCTTCACTTGATCAAATATGTGTTTTAATTATAGTTTTATTAATTTATTAATGAGTGAAAACGATTAGGTATCATCAGGAAGATCAGTAAGATCAGCGCCGTTAAAAAGACGCTCAAGAAGCGCGAAAAGACGTTTCTGGGGTTCTGGTAAAAACGACGAGGAAGGAAAATCACGAAACCGATCTTCTGGTCGTGCAAAAAACTCAATCGATTCGAAAACGATCGATATCGTCACAATGGTATCTCTCGTCAGCTCGGCTGACAGTGACAGTGATATTGAAAATTCACCCAGGGACGACAAGTTAATCAACGAATTACGTAACAAACTTCCGACTACATCAATCATTAAAACATCGATGAATCCTTTAAGCAGTGCCAGAAAGCCTATCAAATCAGGTACATAATAAAAAAGATACGTTCTTACGTTTATCTCCAAATTCCCAAATCTCTAAATATCCAAACTCCTCAAATTCCCAAATCTCGAAACTTTCAAGTCACCAAATTTCCAAATAGGTCAATCTATCCACCACTTCCCAATATACACACACAAAATTTGTTGATTCGCTAAAGTTTCAAGTGTCTACTCGAAAGTGTTCGCTGGTGATGCCCTAAAAAAAAATTTGGCGTGAAACGATCTGTAAAAGTTAGTCGGCAGTCACGTAGAAATTCGTGCGGATAATGGGGAAAAAGTGACACCATCCATCGTACGTGTTCTTTTTATTGCATTTAAAGACAGTAGCGGAAGGTGAATATTTGGAAATTATTTGCGGCATGTGCAGCTCGCGTGTCTCGCGTCGCTTCTAATTAACTCGTTCAATTATCATTCCACGGTCGTCTTTGCACGCTCAGGCGTGTGTATGTGTATTATTAAATTCCTGCACGATAGTGTCGTTGCGTTGCAATCCCTCTCTTAACAGACTCGACAAACTACACTTTTTATATGAGCTATTAAATTCACGGCCGATATTATGTCGCTGATAAACTATGTATATTTCTTTCTCGAGGAAAAGGTTTTTTAAATAGGAACATACATTTTCTTTTATTCATAGCTTTAGAGGACATCGAAACGAATTCAAAACACATATTACATGATATTTTTATTAACATATTACTCGATTTACAGAAGAGGAAATGTGAAGCTTAGCTTTTGACTTTGGTAGTGTAACCATTATTTGATTCCGAAGAGATTACTGAATGTAAACGCGCGACTAGAATGTAAGAAAAATACACTTTATTTAATTGCATGTTCAAAATATATGCCGCCTTCCATCACGTAATATTCCGGTCTTTTACTTCACATTTCCACTTCTGTAAATCGAGTAATATGTTAATAAAAATATCATGTAACATGTATTTTGAATTCGTCTCGATGTCCTTTAAAGCTATGAATAAAAAAAATGTATGTTCCTATTTAAAAAACCCAAGGTGACCTTGACTTTGCCAAAAGAACAAACTGTTTTCAAAATTTGCTTTACTAATATCTATTGTGCATTTCATACCCTGCAAATATTGTTCCAAACTTTTTTTCGTAAGGTGCAAGTGAAAGAAAAATCGTAGCGTTACAGGTAACACCCTGTATATTTCAATAAAAATTCAATAAAAAATTAACAAAATAATCTACTCAGCTAATTTTCGTCTGACCATCATACAACTTGAAACAAACAGTCTAACAAGATTTGCTACATAATTATTTACAAAGTAAGCTTATCGTCACCTCTGGTGACCGTAAAAAATCTCTGCTTAACTATCTTTACGCCTATCTCAGGAAATACGCGTCATGGGAAATTCAAACTATGACTAGAATCTAGGAATTCCTCATCAGCTCAGCAGTGTTAGTGCAATAACTTTGTTCCTTTTAATACGTATACTATCGCTAATTAAAGGGAACTTCTATCGTGCAACGACACGAAACCCGTAAAGACAATAAAGGGTATCGAACACGTTAAATCGACCAAACTTCTTCTCTTCGTATTACGCCACTGACCCTGAGGCAAAGTATTTCATTGAAACTCGCTGGTGCAATCGACTTCTAATAATTACGCTTTTACGAGACAGTCGTTCGATTCATGTAAATCATCGACACTGTTCCAAGTGCATTTGCATGAAGTCTTCTGGTTAGAAACTTTCGAATGATGCACGGTTCTGAAGATGATCTGATGAGGCGTTTCGGAGATTTCATCGAAACTGCTATTAATCACGCTCTTAGGTTTAAGAAAGTTTCAAGAAAAGGGAACTTGGAGATATGGAAGATAGAGACTTCAGAGTTTGAAAATTGGGGATTTTGAAAATTTGAGAATTTAGGGATTTTAAAGATTGTGTAATTTCGGAATTTAAAAATTTAGAGAATTCGGGGATTTTGGAGAACTTAGGGATTTCGAAGATTTGGGAATTTGGTGAGTTAGTAATTTGAATGATTTTAGGAAGTTTTGAGAATTTGTAGAATCCAATAAATTTGGGAATTTGAGGACTTTGAGGGTTTGGAGAATCCAGAAATTTTGAAGTTTGGAGATTTGGATAATTTGAGAATTTGAAGAATTTAAAAAATTTAGGAGAATTGGGAATTTGAAGAAATTGGAAAATATAGGGAATTTCAAGGGGTCGAATAACTTGATAAATTTAGAAATTAAAAAATATGTAATTTAAAAAATTTTGCGACATGAAAACTGAGTATTTACAAACTTGAAAAGATAAATTTTATCTTCAACAATTTTTAAAGAATTTTCATATATTGCAATAATTAAATATTTATAAAGCAACTTACCAAAAATAAAAAACCATCTCTTTTACAATTCTGCTAACATCAATCATTTTTTCTGTGAATTATTAATTCACACTAAAGTTCTCTACAAAACTACAAACCAACAAATAAATGACAAATACAATTCACAGAAAAATATTAATAATGTGTACGTTTAGGCTGGTAAAATTAAATCGATGACAAGAGATATCGTTTGGCCCAGTTTTCGTTATATGGGCAAGTGTTGCAAATGCAGGGCCATTAAATTAGGTTACTTGGTAAACATATTTATCGTGACTATAAAATTTTCTAGTCGATATTACCTTGATTCAATTGCTCCAGCTATAAAATGTCTAACAATAAGTCGTTAAAAACGCGACCGAGCGATTTATTTGAGTCGAAACGTTTTAACCGAGCAACGGATGCAGGGTCAAATGTGACCCACACTTGAGCAAATTATATAAGAATGTTGCAAGTGAAATTTCGCATTCAAATTTTTAATTGAAACGCTTCTATTTTGCTGATTCTATTATATAACTGCAGTGTTTTGAGGGTATCAAAGTTTGGGAATTTGAGAATTTAAGAATTGAAAAATTTTTTAAATTGGCAATATGGAAATTATTAAATTAAAAATATGAAAATTTGAGAAATTGAAAGGTTTAGAATTTGTTAAGGAGGATTGAGGATTTTTTAGAAGTTTGGTATTTGGGAATGTAGGAATGTAGAAATTTGAAAACTTGGAAATTTAGAAACTTAAAAATTTTTTAATTTATAAATGTAAAAATGTAGAAATGTAGAAATGTAAAAATGTAGAAATGTAGAAATGTAGAAACGTAGAAATGTAGAAATGTAGAAATGTAGAAATGTAGAAATGTAGAAATGTAGAAATTTAGAAATATAGAAATTTGGGAGTTTGGAAATTTAAAAATAACAAAATAAAAAATTCGTTACCAATACTATATCATACAATATGTCGATCATCCCCTACACACAACTGTACTAACAATGCATCTTACGTCGCATATCCATTATAATTATAATAATCGCCACGTTAAATAATAAAAGGCCAAAAAAGAGCAACCAAACAGTATACATAAAATAAAATGTTTCGTATAGTTTCTTTCCAGAAAGACTCCTTTGACGAGGATTCAGCGAAAGAGCAACAACCCTCGCCGAAGGAGGAGAAAAAACCACCGCAACCGCGACTCGCGATCGTTAACCACCGTGGAAACGGTGGCATTCTGTCCTCAAACGAGGAAACGGTGTCTTGGAGAACAGAAATACCTGATTTGACCGTACCTGTTTTGTCATTGATCCACGATGCCGAAGAGACACTCGACGTTCCTTTGACCGATCGTGAAAAAAGATGTCTCGCCGTGCCTATTGGTGATCTACACGATAAAAAACGGAAATTATTGAAAACTCGTAGCATCTCGTCACGATCGTGAGTATTAAAATATTTTACAATGAAACAATTCGTGTTGGTTCACTGAGGAAAAATTTTACGAACATTATAACACATTTAATCACGTAATTATCTATAAATTTCTATAATGTTAACAATTATTTATTATAAATATTCAAATCAGAAAATAAAGTCACAAAAATATTTTACGAAACACAATTTGAGATATGGTAGTTTGTTGTAAAATTTTCTTAATTGAGATGTACAAATATCTCGAAATATGTAAATTAAAAATTTTAATTTAATTTAAAACAATTTAATTTAATACAAATTTTTAATTTAATTAAAAAAAATTTAATTTAATACAAATTTAAAATTTTTAATTTAAATTTAACAGAATTTTGAATAGTAAAATTATTTATACATAATAGTATTTTTAATTAATTAATCCTTAATCAGAATTAATTGAAACATCAGTCTGCAGAAAATGCAATTAAAAATTAAATTTGTACTTATTCGAGATTTAAGAAACAAAATTGTTACGCAAGTGGATTAAAAATTAAGTATGCAGTAAGATAAAAATTGATCACAGTTTATGAATACGTCCTTGTGAGTATTAATAGATTAACGCTTAATCGTAAAACAATTTAATCGGGGCGAACTTTACATATCCTCCACTTTATTACACGCTCGTGATTAGTATCGTTGCGACCACAGATAACAATTTTTATTCAGATAATGTTTATAAACCATGACAAGATCGCTAAAGAATTCATATATCGATGGAAAGAAGTGATAAGAAAAATGTAGAAAATGATTACGAACAGATTATTTTAAAAGAGCACCATACTTCTCTTACTCGAGAAACAAAAAAATGAGACACGATTGTTTCTTTATTTTTTTTGTAAAATATTTCTCAGAAACGTAATAAAAAAATAATTTTAATTAAATTATGAAAAATTATATTTTTTAATGTATTGCAGAGAAATGGAAAGACAAACGATATTATCGAAAACGAAAATGCAAGGCTCGCCAAAAATTGTTCCACAAAAAGTGGACGCTCCTGCACAGGTTAAAACGTGCTCAAATATCTCCGCTAATGTAAGATCAACTTTTCGGTAGTTAATGCTAACTTGATTGGTGGCGTTAATTTAATACATGTAAAAATTTTTAATTTTACATTTCTTTATAGGTAAAATCTATTTTTATATCACCCTCGAAGGAAACTGTTCAACCTGTACAACCAATGTCCACAGAACCGCGGTTCCAAACGAACAAGGAAAAGGAATGTTGGCATCTTTACAGAAAAATGTGTGACAAAGGCGTTTGCGTATCTTTCGACACGGTTTTAAGGTTTAAATTTTATCATGTATTCTAACTTGTTTCAAATAGACACAAACTAATAATAAGACACATTTCACCATGTTTCAGTTATTATTTTTTGTAATTATTATAATATAATAAATTGCAACTTTGTATTTACGCATTTATATTTTACAGGGGTATGCTTACGCCAACAGAATACCGGCTGAGGCAGAAAGAACTTTCTCAGGATTTATAACAGTGTAACAGTTTTAATACAATATTAATTTTCTTATTTTTTTTTTTATAAATGCGAGACAATTTTATAAGGAATTACTGATGTCCGTGATTTTTAGTTAAGTACTTCGAATAAATATAGTATATGTATAGAAATGAAAAGAACATTTAAAACGAAACAGCAATCTAAATCGTAGTCAGTATTGAATTATCACAATGCAACTAAATACATTACCTCTTAGTAAATAAAGTATCCGAATTAGGTCTACCGAATTTTAGATGTACCATACAAACTGCCTATTTTTCGGAATATTTATTACTGTATTACGAATACGCAACGTTAGTGTAGAAATTAAAATTGTCCAAAAGGAATTAATTGGCACGTATTCAAATACACGCGAGAACTGATCAACACCTCGAATGCTTGGAAATAGAATCGACTTCTATTTTCATGATTTAATGTTATGATATATGATATTTATGACTTGTTCCTTTATAATGTATAATTCAATAAAACACTTGAATTGTTAATAACATTTTTCATTTACTGTCCCTTATAAATACATAAACAAATCTATTATTTTAACTTTCACTTAAACGAATGTTACATCGTACATTTTTGATCTCATGAAAATTAAAATATCATTTCATTGTTAAAAAAAAAAGGATTAAAAATTTCATTTAAAAACAGAATCATAAAAAATGATTTTTTTTGGTCCAATTGCACATGTTCAGGAGAACTTGAAACATGATACGCTACTGTTTTATGCGTTTTACCACTTCACTGTCAATTTGACAAGTATTCATCATAATTTTTCAAAGTACACGAAATCACGTGCTGTTGATTCTATAGAAATCGATGGCAGAATGATTTGGATCCGTAATATTCTTTTATTGTCATGACATGTGCTATTAATGATGTCTCTGCCAAGAAAGCATGGGAACAAGGTTAACGTCGATTATAAAGCACGACTGGAACACAAATTATATCTGGTACAGTCTTTACTGAATAGAGGTTAATTGCGACTTTGTTTTTATTATCAATTTTGATAATTTCTTAATGTTTAATTTTCATGTAATAACCTTCAAATAATATGTACCTATTACTACAATAACACTTGCTTTTTCTTCCTAATATTAATAAAATTTACACTTTCACCATGCTAATATGTATTAATATAAGCAAATCAAATTACTGTACTAGTCCTATGATGAATTTATTATTGCAACAGGCTAGAGAAAATCCAGAACCAATATTTGATGTATCCGAATGTGCTTTAAAACATGTACCTTCTGGTATTTATTCGCTATGTAAAGTATTCAGGAAAAAGGTGCTATGGATGTACAGTAACAAATTAACTTCACTATCCGGTGGAGGTGCCTTAAGTGATTTGTCATTACTTGTTGTGTTAGATATTCATGGAAACGAATTTACCAATTTACCGTCAGACATAATGTGTCTTGCATCTCTCAAGGTATGTGTAACTTTATCTGAACTTTTTCAACTTCAGTAATAAATTAAACCTTTTTTAAGTTTACAGAATTGTAAAATGTTGTGTGTTATTAATTATAATATGCATTGCAGGAACTTTATCTACAAGACAACAATATAAGAAAACTGCCAAATGAAATAGTGCACTTAAGTAAATTAAACATTCTAAATGTTGCAAGAAATAACTTGAAACAATTGCCAGAAGTGATAGGAAAATTAAAACAGCTTACTACATTGGATATTAGTCAAAATAAATCCCTTCATAAACTTCCTAAGTCTCTGGGTTATGCGCAACAATTAGCACAGTTAAATATTGATGGGTTAAATCTATCATACCCACCTCATGATATTTTAAATGGAGGCACAATAGTAATTATAGCATTTTTGGCTAATGAAAGTGGCATTGAATATTCACCAGAAGAATCTGTTTCAGAAATAGAATTGTCAAAAGATACAAGTTCAGATAATACACTAGGGATATATAATAAAAATAATGATGTACAGGTACCATGCATTAAAGAACCCTAAATTTTGATGTTGCACTTGCATAGTGTGTCTTAAATGTTTTTATTTTCATTTTTAGGCAGCATTACAGAAGCTAACAAAAATGAAGGCATGTGGATGCTTTTTTTATTTTCTTATGTTTTCTAATATGTCTTATTGCATATTTATTATTATTTATTGTGAAACTTAATTTTGATTTATCAAATATTTGTTATGTATTTAAAAATACAATTAATTGATTTACATGTTCATACCATTATAATAAGTTAAAGCAATGTTTGATTTCGCTTGCATTACTTCAAAATAAATGTTTGTGTGATATCAGAAGTTAATGGAAACAGGTCATATTCAAAATATTACAATTTAAAATGAAATTTACTTTTACAGGAACATCGTCAAAATGCATTGTTAGAAGTTGAAAAAAATATAAAACAGCAACAAGAATATGAAATTGGAATTCATTCTATGTTGAAAGAACACAGAAAAAAGGTATTGAAATTGATTAATTAATCACTATATAGATTCAAGTTCACATAGAATTTAATTACGACTTTCTGCATTAAAATATTTTTTTTTTTAGCTTTTAATAGACCTTGCTGTTCAACAGTCGCAGTTACAACATGAATTAGAAAAACTACAACAAGAAAGAGATTCTAATAGAGCACGTTTACTTTCTTACATTTACAATGGTATAATTGTTGTATTCCTTCAAAATGTTTATTGATCCAAAAAATGTAATATCAATTTTATTTTTAGCTGAAAAAGAAGCAAATAACGTCATCAAAGAATTTCTTAGAAATAGCGAAGAAGAAAGACAAAGTCAAGCAGAATTAGTTGAACGTGAAAAACAAGAAGAAATTAAGCTATTATCATCTTGTCATTCAGAACAATTCATGTTTCGTACCAAAGATACTCTTAGTAAGTACTCATAATATATATTGTTTTATTTTATTACTGGAATTATATGTTCATATTATTCCTACAGTTTCGATGGAAAAATTATTGGAAGAAGAGCTTTATAGAACAAGGAAGTTGGAGGAGTATAGTAAATGTAGAGATTATGCTGCACAATCTTTGCTCACATTGTTAGTATAATATTAACAAATAATATTTGATATAAATGTACGATGTTAATAAACATAAAAGCATATAAATATTTCAGAGAAGTTAGAAATAATGATCATTTAGCCGAAATAGTGCAAAATCAGGAGAGGAACAGACAAAATTTAATTGATACATTAAAACAAGATGAAGTTTTACAAAAAGCTGCTGTTGCCGCATTATTAGAACGTAGTGATGCGCGTTCATGGAGTATTGTGCAGCAAGTCAACTTGGTACAATCACAGTTAGCTGCTCTTACAAGCATTGAATTGGAAAAAAGAAAACTAGAAATGAACCAACAGTTGGTATGTATCCTAAATAAATGTATCCATAAAAGTTTATGTTTTATTATAAAAATATTTTATTATTTCGTACGACAGAATGAAGTAGCCGAAAAGAGGGTCGCTTTAAGTGCTATTTTGATGGATCTATTAGAACAACAAAAAAGCAGAAGAGATCAACTTGTAGAAACAATCAATAATATTGAACAACAACGCTGCATCATTGTATGTATAAATTTAAATTTTATCTTGATTTCCATGATAATAAAACTTATATAGATTTATGTTCAAAGAATTCTAGAAGAAACAGTCAATTTTGGTTGATGCAATACCAATCTTTGATGGAAGCTAGACCTCAGGGTTTATTAGAAATGCTAGAACCTACATTAGTACGACATGTTGCGATTGCGGGAGCACTCCATTGTTTACCATTTTTAGCTTCTCTACCATCATTACTTCCAGATGTTACTGATGAACAACTGAAAACTGTATGTCCATTTAATATATACGATAAATATTTGTTATTCTGAAATGAAGTATATTTTTTCAATAGATCGGCATACATTGTGAAAACGACCGTGCCGCTATAAGACTTGCAGTTGAAAATTATTTAGCAGAGGTGAAACTTAACGAGTCTAGGACACCTTCTGCACCAGTAGAACTACCTGTAACACCCTGTGCACCACTCGAAGAAGCATGTACAAGTTCTAATTATGAAGAATCAAATCCTATTCAGAGCATTACTACTGCCGAGTGTGTAATTTGCTTGGATTTACAAGTAAGTGTAATTTTCATATTATTTAAACCTATGAATTATGTTACATAATTATCATATGATTCTGTATTCATTATAGTGCGAAGTAATTTTTTTACCGTGTGGACATCTTTGTTGCTGTTCAGGTTGTGCAAATATGGTTTCTTCAGGTTGTCCAATGTGTAGAAGTACTATAGATCATAAAATTCATATTATAAAGCCTTAAATCATGAGTTAAATTTTTTATGTATAATTTTATCTGATTATCTTCACTGTTCTTTATTTTAGCTATATGTGTTTATCATTTAAAAGTTTATCCAAAAAAAACTAAGTTAGAGTAACACATATTTATATATTTTTGACATTCCCATTTACAGAACTGATAGTTCATAAAACATAATATTTACAGTTATCTTATAAAAATGTATTTTAATTATATATCCGTTAAATTTTATAATATATGTTTAGTACTGCTACTCTGTTTGTTTCTATATTAAACTATAATTCTTGTTGACAAAAAAAGTATCTAAAAGAAACAGTAAGTTTTGAATTAGGTGCATGAAGTTTTAAATTTTATTATTTTTCAATGCCATAATATTTAAGAAAATAAGATAGTGTATAATAATTGTACGTAAAATTATGAACCGTTTTTAAAATATTATCACTAATGCAAATAAGAAAATATTAAACATCTGAAAATAAAAAAGTAAATTGCATTTATTAACACTTGACTACAAATATCAATTTTTATATAAAATCATTTCTGACATATCTGTACATATGATAGCCTTATACAATACAAATTAAGACATTTTAATGTATTACAGTGGTTAAGAGTTAATAATGCAAAAACTAAAGATAGTGCAAGCTTTTTGTAAATGATAGTTTATATGAGGAAATTTTTTTATAAAAATTCACTTCTTAAATGCAGTATCTTAAAAGCATACATTAATAAAACATTGAAATTTTATTCATTTATGTGTATTATTAAAACAAAAATTGTTAAAACACAAATAAAAAGTTTTAAACAAGGAACTTTTAATTTAGATTTCTTTAAAGAATCAAATGTAATTATAATTGATGATATGGAACAAAATTATTTTAAACTTTAACTGTTTTTTTATATTAATATATTTTACATTTCATTTAAAAATAATAAATAGAATGTGACAAAGTTGTTAGATTTATTTGATAATCCTGTAAAATATGTGATTCTTCTATATTTAATATAGTTCAAAAAACCATCACTTCCCTTCCACCTTCTTCTTCTTCTATTACATCGTCTTCATCCTTTTTCTGTTGCTTCTTTTTAGATGTCGCATCTTTCTTTTCTTTTTGAACCTTACGGAAATTTTCTAACGACTCTTGCAGTGGGTCAATAAATTGTTCAAATTCTATGTCATTCATTGCATGAATAACATCTGAGCCACTTATGGTTTTTCGATTTCCTTTCTTGGCAATTATATTTGCAGAGGATGTTAAGTACAGTATAAAAATTGAAGATGCTTTGGCTATTGCAGTTCTGGCATCTTTGGCTATTGTAACCCCTTCTGGCAACGCTTCTTTTATTATCCTTGTCACAACTGCATTCGGTAAATTAAGATCTTCGAGCCGCTCTGCCATCGGATATTTTTATTTATTTATTCTACAGAAACAATGTTATTGATCGTATAATCCATAAACCATTAAACTTGATTATTTACTACATTTTATCTTATAAGGTTATGATTCAAAATATTTGAAAAGCGTAAACATAATAGAAAATCAGAGTTATTAAATAAATTACCCTGTTGTAAAATCGGTGTCGTGTTCGTACAGTAACTTAATAGCACTGAATTAAAAATAAATTAAAGTAAAAACAGTAAGTTTTGATAAATTGTTTCTTCTTATTTCCCGCCAATGCGTCTTTACTGCGCACACATCCAAAACAAATTAATAACAATGCAATGAATTGACATCCAATATGAATGATATATAGAATTCACCACACTGTTATAAGAATAATAAATGTATTGTAGTACTTGTTAATATGAGATTTCAAAACATTAATAACATTGCTTCTTTCTGTAAATGCTAACGTTACACCATCTACACAATTTCGATTACTTTGTGTTTTGTGAGAGATCATACTCATCGTTTGACGAATTTTTGTGCGTTTTGCGCACGTTAGCTCCAATTGGTCGAATAAATTTTGTAACTAGGATCAACGCGCATGCGGCTGATGACTTTCTACATACCTAGTGATACAGATTTAAAATTTTTAAATTCCTGTATCTCCAAATCCCAGAATTTTAAGAATTTTAAGATTTCTGAATGTCCATATTTCAAATTCTCAATCTTCTGCATATTTAAATTTATGAAATCTTAAATCCGTAAATCGGATCATTCCTAGTTTAAATTTTTCTTTGTTATTAGTATATTGTGTCCACTATGTATATGACCGGCGAAATGGAAAATGTATAGAGATGGAACAATAACAAATAGTGGGGAGCCTATTGAAGTTAACTGTGTTGTACGAATTAAATTGATCTACTGTGGAATGAATAATAGTACACGAGTATAATTATAAAAAATTCTTGTGTGTATTATGTATAATATTCACTGTTTAAAATAGTCTGTTAATTTAGAATTTAGGCAAAATAGCAGGTTTTTTCACATTATATTTTTTCATCTGTTATTTATATTATATTTTATGTTGTATTTATTAAATTACATTCTCGCGTAAGGAACAATAATTGTTGAAATGTAAGGTATTTGAATTTAAACAATAAACTATACAAAAGTAATAATTCTTTCAAGTAACAATTGATATTCCCGCTAATATTGTACATCGATAAAGCTGGAAGTGATAAGAAAGTGGTAGGACTCCAGAGCCCTCAAAACTGTCATGTACTATGTATAGTTTATATAATATATAGATATATTCCAATAAACTGGACTAACACTTTAGCTCGTATATAGCACGCAGGATTTGTCATCTGCAGTGTGACTTGACAAGACATATTTATTAACATTATACTGATTCGTAGTGTGACAGTTTCGTTATAACAATTAGCGAACTTTAAGAAAATCAAACGAAAGCACCATTCTGAGAAAAATGTCAAAAATCGAAGAAGGAAACGCTCATATACGACAAGCTGAAAAAAGGTACTGTGAAATGACAAATTACGGAAAATCGTGTCAACAATCAATTTGAATTTCGTCAATTTTTTTAATACAAACTCGGCAGAATATATTTATGGCAGTATAAAAATAACTTAATTTTTATTGATCCATCTGATAAACTAAATAAGACAAATCTGTGTTATAGCTTAAAAACATCTCTATTAAAATGGAGACCTGATTTCGAGGTTGCGGCCGACGAATATACGACTGCAGGTACAACATAAATAAATAAATAAATAAATAAATAATTTACCATAATGTTATATTAATATAATGTGTATTATTACTCATTTCAGCAACTTGCTTTAGAATAGCAAAGTCTTATCAACAATGCAGAGATTGTTTAATGAAAGCTGCTGATTGTTATAAGGAGAATAGATCGTATCCTTTTTACAATAAATATGTGTCCTACTTATTTTACTATTTTACTAATTCCATAAGTACTTTGTACAATGTAACTGTTTCTTTAACATTAATTTTATAAAAGATGGTTTCATGCTGCAAAGTGAGTTCTTTATAATTTTAACTAGACTATATTTTTTATGGAGTATATTAATGTCACATATAATTTTTTAGGAGTATCGAGCAAGCTCTCTTGATTTGCAAAGAAATGGGAAATCTTGCAGATGTACCAAAATTGGCACATAGTGCTTGTTCTTTATATCAAACGCATGGTTCACCTGAATCAGGTGCAACTGTGCTTGATAAAGCAGGAAAGATGGTAGAAGCTACTAATCCACAAGATGCTCTAGAATTATTTAAACGTGCTGCTAATATTGTTATGGTGAGATATTTTTTTGCTATCATAGCTAATGAAAATGTTGTTCAATATTATATGTAATATTTTTTAATAAAGGGTGAGGACAGTCCACGTCAGGCAGCAGAATATATGAGTAAAGTGGCAAGATTGTTAGTAAAATTACAAATGTATGATGAAGCAGCAGATGCAGTTCGCAGAGAAATTGGAATGCATCAACAGATAGATCATGCACCTTCTGTTGGTAGATTAACAGTAGCATTAGTATTAGTACAGCTAGCTCGAGGTGATCAAGTAGCAGCTGAGAAAGCTTTTAAGGAATGGGGAAATTATTGTGAAGCTCCTGAGGTATAAAATATATCTTTTGTTTTAAATTAAAAATGCTTGACTGAAAATTTAATATCTGTCTAAAATTTATTTTTAGGTTAATACTTTAGAAATGTTATTGCAAGCTTATGACAACGAGGATGCAGATGCTGCAAGAGCAGCTTTAAATAGCCCTTTTATTAAACATATGGATGTGGAATATGCTAAACTTGCTAGAGGATTACCTCTACCTCAACAAGAATATACAATGCCTCCACCCGGAGTACGAGCAAATGCAGCTGAGTCATACAAATCTCCTAATGCATCGAAATTAATTGAAGAAACTACAAGTGATATTCAAGTAAATATTACATTTTTTCCTTTATCAATTTACATTTTCTCTTGTTAGTAGAACAGATAAAAAATCATTAAAAGACATAATTATGTTAAATGAAAATTTTGTTAAATTTATAACAAATCATTTTACAGAATATGAGCATTAAAGCTGCTGAAACTGCTGCTAAAATACCATCTGAAAATACTGCTAGAACTTCATCTGAAGATACTACTAAAGTATTACCTAAAGATACAGTTGAAGAAGAAGAGACGCAAGCAGCGCCTTCAAAGAATATAGAAAATGAAGAAGACGAATATGAAGGTGGTTTATGTTGATTGACTATATTTATTAAAACTAACATAATTTATGTCTTAAATTATAAACAGATTTTATTTTGTAAGAAGTACTACATCGTGTTAACTAAGAGATATATATTTAATGCCTAAAAAGTATTTTTCTGTGAGCACGCTTATATATACACACATATATAACTGTAAATCTTGTTGAATCAATTAACATATACCTATTAGCTTAGTAATGATATTTTCATTGAAAATAATATTTATACATGCATATTTAATATTTTCTGCTTAGAAATATTTCAAGAAATATAATACTCGTGAAACATTTTCACTTATTTGAAACTTACAGTTATGTAAAATATTTTAAATATAGTTCCTTATACATATTATAACAAATCCTGTTATAAAAAATAAATATATAATATATATGCATTTATGTTACACGATATACAAAATGGCAACTTACAATGTATAATTTATATGCATACTGATATGTTCTGTAAATGTTACATTTTCTAGTGTTTATAAAATATCTTTAGTAATTATCTAATATTTATGTATAATTGCAAACTCTTTGTTAAGAAGAAGCATGTACAAATTACATATTTTAATAATATATTTTTATTTTATAGCTGTAAAAATATATGTAGCAAAATAAACTGTTATTGTAAAAACATAAACATACATGTATATGTAAATTCATTTGTATGCATACATCAATAAAGAGGTTATGAATATCAAATCAAAATATACAAAAGTGTAACACAACATTGTTTTACTTACAACTTCCGTGTTTCGAAGTCACATGCATTATTTTCTTCTGCAGAGAATCTTCTGCAAATTGTAAAACGTTTTTTAATACACTATTTGCACATCACAAACAATTCTTGCAATATGTCCTTTCACCGGTCAGTTTTGAAAGATTACCGCGAAATTACATATATTTTGTATTTGACAAGAGAAATGTAATAATTCGCGCATCTCGACTGACTTCAGAAGATTCTTCATCACTGGTGTGGTGCTACTTTACTACTTGTTTCTCATTTCATGGTCATATACAAGGTGAACAAAAATATTTGAATAACGTAAAGAAGCGATAATGTAAATAAATCGTAGAAGAGTATACAAAATAAAAAGTAATTGGGTATACACGCTCGACACAATAAATATTATTGCGTTTGCGCTAAATGTGCGCAGCCTGAACAAGATCTTGTTCAACACTGCTCCCAATATTCTATGACCGCTTTCAAAATATTTACAATTATAAATTGTATTCGTTTAATAAATTTTAAATTAATATGAAAGAATCTATTACTCATCTATACAAACACATTCTATGAAGCGAAATTAATTTCTATTTTAGAATAAGTTTAAAGTTTCCCACTATTAATTGTAACATTTTCAAATAATTGGCGCGAAATAAGAATTCTTCTGATCTTCAGGTTTCAACCAATGGCTAATAGATGGGCAAATATTATTAGGTATTTAAATATCTTTAACGCGCTAATAGGAAATACTGCAACATTATCTATCGTTAAAGATGTAAAGAAAAATCCAATTAAGCGATAAATATTAATATTCTTGATGTATATTCCATAATTATTTCGATTAGTCGCTATGCTATTGTCATGCGACTGTGAACTTCACTTTAAGTGTTTCAACGTGAAATCAATATTATAGTGGCTCTTAAAGAGGCGTGTTTGCGCACGAACGTTAAAATCGAATAAATAGTCGTCTGCAGAAAGCTCGAAGCAGACGTCACAATAGACCACGACGTCGTGGTAGAATAACAGTGGGGCGCGAGCAAGTGTCAATTTGATTATTGTCATCATTCTCTCGTGAGTATCGGTGATTCTGTCAAGACCGTTCGGAATTTCTACCGATGATCGGCAAATCGCGTCTACGTTTTCCTGTGGGTGCCGTGAGGCGGCGAGAAAGGCCACCTCTTTAAATTAAAAGAAGGAATGACGCTGGAGAATCCGTTCTTTGTCGTCAAGGAGTAAGTTAAAATTATATGTCATTGTCAACTTTCAATACATTTTTCGACAACTGTACGCATCGTCGATAATAAGTTATCTACCGATATCTCAAGTTACATATATCGATATGCAACTTTACGTTGAAACTTTTGTTATTCATATCGTAACATAAATGTTGTATACACGTATGTATGTGTATCAGCCCTTTTAGGAACAGTCAGTAGCTATATAACTTACAAAAGATGTTTCTGATGTTTATAAGTAACTTCAATATAATGCAGTGTTGATATATGTTTCACGTTAATCCATAATTTTAAATCTTATCTTAATACACGTACCGTGTATTTATACGCTTAATCTGAACTGTTTATGTTCTTACTTTCATTGTATTTATTCAGCAGTCAGTTGTCAGTTTTATCGAAAATACCATTGAACTTTCTTAATGCTTTAGATTAGATTTATTGTCCATTTGCGTATTTTGAAATATATTGTCAAGAGGGAGTTTCCAGGACCTATGAAATTGTACATGATACGCTTGATTTTGTACTAATCAGCATTTCGGTATTTGGATACGTAGACAAAATTAATATTTCGAAATGCACACAAATCGATCTATATTTATTTCCAAAATAAAATCATTCTTATTTATTTTTTAATATTGCGATATTTATTTATTTAATTACAAACAGTTATCGACAGATTTTTTTTAACACTCGTGAAAAATTTGTTTACAGAAGATATTAGCAAGTGAAATGTATTGTGTAATAGATAATTATGTAAAAAATTGCCGTTTTAATTGATGAAATATCGAAAATAATTTAATTAACTTCGTTCGATATAAACAATGTTTTATCTTGTGCATTTTATTTTTCAATAATTTTAATATTTCCATTTCTCTGTTTCTTAGCGAAGTTTGTAAGGCCTTAAATAAAAATCGCGGTTTGTACGGACGCTGGACGGAATTACAAGATGTTGTTGTCACGAGTCCGAATGTGAGTGGGGGAATCCCAATTTCACGGGACGAATTAGAGTGGACAACCACCGAATTACGGAAAGCCTTACGTTCGATCGAATGGGATCTTGATGATCTAGAAGACACGATCCATATCCTTTAATGCATGTGCAGTTATACATAACGCATGTAGTACATATTACGTCTTTTAATAATAACATTCGAACAATCGTATACATTCTTTCAAAAATAGATAGTCGTAATAATTTGTTAACCAAATTCACTGATCACCTAAAGTTCACTGTGTTAATTAAAAACTTATGAATTTGGCATATAAAAATGTATGTACATACAAATGCATGTACGTTTGTTATACTGTCGCATAGGACCGCCATTAGAGTTTGCAAGAATCCTGTCGAAAATGGAAATCTCGGTTCATGTGTTTAATAATTACACATTACCAAAATCTAGCCTAAAATTTATTCGACTCAAATACAAACTCAATTATATGGCATCCAAATAGTATATCATTTTTATAAACCGGGAACAATAGCAGTATACATATATTAATTTATGTAATTTGTATAAATTGCGAGACTGTCTAAGCACGTGACCGGAAACATGTGTATTTGTCCAGCGCTAATAGCGTTATTACTACTGTAAACAACTTGTTTTTATATAATTCATATTCTATATTACTTTAACATATTACGTATGTATGTATATACGTATTGTAGAAAAGAATCCAACAAAATTTAAGATAGATAATAAGGAATTAACGGTTCAACGAAGTTTTATCGAACAAACTCGAGAGGAAGTTAAGGTAATTATCTTCTGTATTTGATTGTTTTGACTTAATTCTTGTATGTTAATGATTAGCAGCAAGATATTAATTTAATTTACAATTCCTCTGTTTATAGATCATGAAGGATAAAATGAATTTAAGTAGAGGTCGGGACCGCGATAATACAGCAAGGCAGGTTTGTAATAATTTTTTAATAAGAAATTGATATATGTAAAAGTAGTTTACTTCTAATTATAATAAATTGTCCATTAAAAAATATTAATCAAGCAATAAAATTAGAAGCGAAGATCTGCGTTCTGTAGTCGTTACATTTTTAAACTTCGCTCGTAAATTATAATACTGCACGTTGCGACATCTATGAAGAACTGTCAAATTGCTAATAATCTTAATCAGCTGAGCGCGTTTGGTCGACATAAAAGAATTAGAAGTAATTTGCAAATTCGTTTTTAGTTTTCTTTACGGTATGTTTTATATGGATTTACAAGTAAAATAATATCAGTTGGAATTATAAAAAGAAGGAAATGGTTTACACGGTAAATCAATATTTCTTAACACTATTAGCATTTAAAATCAATTGGTAAAGTAATACCTGCAAGTATAATATTAAATATTTTTATCAAATTATTTATTATTATCTCATCAAATTACGTAATTTAAGACTAACAATTCTCTCGTACAAGAGTTCTCTTTAATTAAAAAATTTGTGTGTTAGCTTTTTTAATTTCATTTGTTTGTATGTTATCATTACAGCCACTTTTGGACAACAGTCCAGCCAGAGTTCCTGTCAACCATGGTACAACTAAGTACAGTAAATTGGAAAATGAAATTGATAGTCCAAATAGGCAATTTTTGGGAGATACGTTACAACAACAAAATGACATGATGAGACAACAAGATGAACAATTAGATATGATAGGTGAAAGCATTGGAACTCTTAAAACAGTTTCTAGGCAAATCAACACTGAATTAGACGAACAGGCAGTGTAAGTTTATTAATTGCTTATTGAATTTTTAATAAAATTAATTACTTTCATTTAAATGATATTCATTGTTGCAGTATGCTAGATGAATTTGGTAATGAGTTAGAAGTAACGGATTCCAAGCTGGATGCGACAATGAAAAAAATGGCCAAAGTTCTTCATATGAGTAATGGTAACTATAATAATTACATTCCTGCTCCTACTACTGCAACATCTAGTGTTTCTGATCTTGCCTCTAAACCTTCTTCTCTATCATCCCTATCAAATACAATAACTAATTGTTTCTTATGTTCTGGAGATTAAATAAATACTGGTATTTTAATTTGACCGTAATAATTCAGCAACATACGTGAAACATTTTTCTTGCTTCATCACTTGCTTTATTTCACTTTATTTCAAGTATTAATTTAGCTTGATTATTCGCACTTAATTTCTGTGTAACACAAAATTAATAACAATTTAAAACACCCTACTAGAATACGACATTAATCATTCGTTTTGCTTTCACAATAATATTGCAAATCATCATCATTACGTACATTTCTTTTACACTCTTTATACTAATTTAAATTTATATAGCATTTTTATTATTTATTTTTTCCAAATATATTAAAAATTATATTAATATGTGATTTGAACCAAAGAACTATTGGAGAGTAGAAGTCTCATTAAGTTAAAATAAAAGATAGTGAATTTAATATATGTTCATTTTGTTTAATTTAAAAGATATTAAATAACTCAAGTTTTTAAAAAGATGTTAATAGTACTATAAACATGTTATAAAATAAAAGTAAAAATTAATATATATATATCTAGTGGCAATTGTTACTCAGATTTTAAAAGATGTTCTTAAATTATTCTTTTCCTTTATTGATGTTATATCTGTATTAAAATTCACCATTAAAAAATTTTTACTTTTGTTCCTGTTTCCATTTGTAATTTCCATACTCATATTTTATAAATAACATATTTGCTTATATTTTTATTGTAACGAGGAAAAACAAAGAAAACAATGATTGAAAACCTATGTGTATACAATAATTAAAGTAAATAATCTGGAAATGGTCAACATATATTTAAATTTAGTAAATATCAAAGACGTAGCGTTAAAATGGACCAGTTGCAATTATGAGAAAACAATAGTGTCTAATTGCATTTAGTTAAAGTATCCATTATGTATCTAGTATAATAGGCACTAAAAAGTGTAGTACTAATAAATCAATTATAGAATCAGTAAAACTATATTGTTGAATGAAATGTATATTACAAATCCTTAGGTAAATAATGAATTGTATTCAAGTACCTCATTTACATGTAAATTTTGAAAGATTATGCCAAATATCAGGAAGTAAATGTTAATGCGAAAGGAAGTAGCACAAGTAATTTGTGCCTGAGAAAATTTTAATGTAATAGACTTATAGACAGATGCATATATATACAAATATTTCCAGTATGTTTTAAAATCTCTGATACTTCTACTTCCAATATATACAACATGTGATATTATCGTATTGATTCAGGTGTAGATAAACGTAGTATAGTACACATTATTGTGGAATATTCACATGGTATTGTGAAAGTACCACTCAGTTTATGTGTGTAACGGATGTAAATGAAAATATAAAGTTTGAAAGAAAAGTGTTAAGAAAAGAGAAGAGAAAAATGTAAAAACAATTATTTGTACGTATGATGGTTACTGATCAATTGTTTTCCAATGCGAATAAAAATGTTCATAAGTACTATGAAAATTAGAGACTGCAGGCAATCTAAAGCTCTATTTTAGGAAGATTAGGCATAATAGAAAGAATTGATAATTAGAAAATGAAACGTTCATTTCATTGTTAAAAAGAGTGTTAATAATATAACGTTGTGAATTCATACATAAAACAAAAATTGTCTATTCTAGTATGTATTTAAAAACAAAAACGGAAAAGTATACTTTATTATTTCTCATTAATGACCAATTGTGAAGATACACTGATAAATAAAACTTGCGACTTTATTTATACTGTACGTGTTACTGTAAGGTACCACAAATTCCTGACCCATTGAAATTATTCAGATAACCATTGTAGTAGTAAGATTATAGTATATAAGAACTCGTTGCAAATTAGATTCTATGTTTGAGAGGATTTAACATTGTATGATACAATTGAATTTCAAATAAAACTATTTTTCTGATGTTTGATTTAACAAGTATGTTTAGTTTTTCATACACTCATGTGAGTAAATGATACGAAAACTCTCAATCATGGAATGTAATATAATTTTTCACTTGAAATATGTTTATGGATGTATATTTTAGATATTATGTCATTCTTCTTGTTTTTGGCTTATATATGTTTGTGTGAAAATAATTTTGATATATACATATATGTAATAATGCAAATGCAAAAAGATTAATATAAATAAGAATCATTGTTTTGGAGCTTCCATATTTTAATGAATGTTATAATTACTGCTTGTTATTTCTAAATAACTTTAACTTAATACGTGATTTTTATATATCATTTAAAATACAAAATTAGTTTGCAATATTGATTCTTTGTACTCTGCTTAAAAAACTTATATTGATAGAATATTTTTTATATATCTAAAGAATTGAACATTTGTATTGTATCATATGAAATTTTATAAACAGTAAATTCACTTGATTATCTGGTAATGACATATTTTATAATTCGTCATTTGAGTGCAAGGTATCAATAGAAAATGTTCAATGTTATTATAAATTGCTTGTTGAAAAGTGCATGTTGAAAATAATGTACAATGTTTACTGTTTGAAGAAGGGCCAAATATATAGTATTGATTTTCCTTATAAATATATGTCATTTATTTAATTTTATCGTCGTTCTGATTGAATGACGATAAAATCTTTTGATTCTGACAACCTTTTTTATAAGTGACGCATGTGATGTTACTTTCCGTTTGTTTTAGATCGGAGACAATGGGTAGCCATTGGAGTGTTGACCGCTATATTGGTGTTTCTAATAATTTTATTTATAATTAAGTGAATCATTTAATTTCTTAGCTTCCCTAAGAATTATTGGTTCTTCTTCATAGCATTTAGTCAAGTATGTTAAATTTTGTTTTAATAATAAATTATCGATAGCGATATTAATAAATACTTACAGTTATTATATATTTTTGACAGGATGTTTATGAACTCCCTCTCCCCAAATTCAGGTAATAACTAAATTAAATCGTTCATACATTTTGTAAAAAGTTTTACTAGTTTTAGTGTTTTACAATCAATTAAAAAGAAGGTAAATATTCGTTTATTGTTAAGACTACTTTATCATATAATTTTTCAGGTTCTAAAATATGGCATTATATTGCATCACATATCAGTCGATGATTGTGCATTTTTTTTTACTCGTATTAAACATAATTTAATACTTCACTAAAATATTATATGTAAAAAAAAATGATTCGTGATATATGTTGTAAAATATATTTAGGCTTCTGCTGTATTCCTTCTAATCATACAAATGTTTCTGTCAATTTTAATATTCACACAACATGAAAGTAATTATAAACTGTTTTCTCGTATTAACGCATAAATAAGTCACAATAATGTATTACATTCGATTTTGTACATTGGAGATTAAAAACACTTGCCTTTTCTGGAAGGAACTTTCGAAGCTTTCTTAGAACTTAGAAGAGTACTTAGAAGACGTAAAAATTATAAAATAAATGCATATAGATACTATATACATGTTTGTACATACGTACAAATAAGCTGTATTACAAAAAATGTTAGACGAATTGTATAATGTAAGTGGTCTAGTAATGATGTCTACTATATTAAATCTTTGGTATTGTGTTCATTATTGCAGTCACTTGTATATGTTAACACAAGAAGTTAATTTTTCAAAAAAAAGAAATGCAATATAGTTCTAGATGATTTAAGTATCAATGTACAAATATCATCTCATCTACCCAATGATTCATTGATGTGATATTTTCTATTCTATTTGATTTTATCATAGTTATACAGTATAATTAGAGATATTTTTTATGGTTGCTAAACGTACAGCTATAATGTGCAATATATACTCAGTTCCCAGAAGGAAATATTGACTTTCTAGTTATTATAGTAAAGATATGTTTATACCTTTTAAACTTTTTCTTGGTTTTCATTCCTTCATTATAAGTAAGGCACCTCTAGTGATATGAAAAAAATGGAACGCTCGTATCTTTAAGAATCGTATTGGCTGATAATAATTTTGGCGTTCATGGTTCCAATCGTACTTGTTTATGACAGTCGGCAGGCAAAACTTTCTTTATATCCCCAATATTTTCGACTTCCATTCTTAGTCGACTGACTTCATCTTCATAATTTTTTACCCATTGTGTTTGCGCATTCTTTGCATCTGTTAATGCTCGAATTCGTTGATCTAAGTTTGCAGCTGCGATTTCTTTCTCGGCTGCATTCAAACGATCTTCCAGACGATTCAAGTCAGCATCATCTAAATCACGAAAGTTTACATGTATATTTTAATAGAACAAAACAGTAAACTGAGATGAGAAATGTCAATTTACCTATTTCTGGTAAATTTTCAAGTTCCTTTATTATTTCAGCTACTTCAGCTAAAGCTTTGTCGACTTGTTGCGACGCTGAAGTTACATTGATCTTAGCTTGACCAACTTTATGATTTGCCTAAAATACCACGGTAGTCATCATTTCATTGTAACATTGACTGCATTATGTACAACTAATGTCTTACCTCCGATGTGAGATTTGTATCTTGACTAATTTGAATTTCGTATTGTTTCATCATGGAATCTGTAGTATCAACTCGCAAATGCAATTTTTCAGCTTCGTTTCCTACACGAAGTGCTTCTATCTTAGTTTTATTCGCTTCGATTCTAATGGCATTTGCTTTTGCACTAGCTTCTTCTGCGAACATCTAATATCAAAATGTTTTTTTACATAATAGGTTACACATTATACTTTAAACTTTAGATTAAAAGAAGAATTTATTTACCTGCGCATTTTGAGCTTTCTCATGGGCATATTTAGCATTGTTTTCAGAACCAGTTAATATTTCATTAGCTTGCGCGGCTTGTTGCATTGCGGTCGTAATTACATTTTCGATCTGCGCTATGTCTTTTAAGGCATCTTGAGCTTTAATACGTTCACGCTCAACCTCAGCATGAAATACTGCAACATTGCAGAGTAATCAGAAACATTGACTATTTCTTTTGTATAAAAAATGTTTCACTATCGTTAATGAAAATATTAAATACCTCCCAGTTTTTCCAACGTTTCTTGAGCTTCTTTTAAAGTTTGATCACCCCGTTTTACAGCATCATTTGCTTTTTCATTGGCTCCATCTAATTCAGCTAAAAGTTCAGCAGTGGCTGCTTGCTGATCCTGTGCTCGCTCTATAAGCTCTTCGCTTTTCCGTACTTTTTCTGCCATTTCATTTATGAAATTCTCATTTTGATCCAATAATAATTGCGCTTGTTCTTTTAACCGTAATCCCTGTAATTAAATTTTATTCCTAATGCTGTACTGTTTTATTTATACTTATTACGATTTAAATTTACCTCGTTATTTAGATCTTCAACTTGATTTTGTAACCGATCAATGTCAACAGGTGGAAGAGCCAAATCCAGAATCAATAAATCTATTGCTTCTTGTGAAACAGCGGATGATTTAGTAGCTGCTATGCTGGTAAGATTTCTCACTTCGTTCATACGGTGCTCCAACATCTCTAACTTATTTTCTAATCCTCGAATGTCGTCGCTAAAAGTGAAACAAATTTGTTAGAAAGATTATAACATGTATAGATACGCGTTACGAAATAAATAAATACATACGTCATATTAGAATATTTTGATATAGCCTTCTTCGCGAGGGTATAAGCTTCAATTGTTGTATTTCGAGCTTGCTCTGCCAGCGCATGAATCTTCTTGGCTTCGTTAACATTACTGTAAATAAAAAATAACATAAATAATAGCAAACCATTATTAATTCATTCGTAAAATAAATGTTACTAACAGGTCAGCTAATACGCGCGCTTCTTGTGCAATTGAAGTCATTTGTTTGTTCTGTTGACCAACTTGATCAGCACGTATTTTAGCTTCTGATAATGCAGTCGCTCCATTTGTGGCTAAGTAATCCTCTGCCTCCTAATATTACATTTAATAGTAAAAGGTTTAAATTTGGACAATTGTTATATTCCTGTATTTAAAAATTTGGTGATGTATCATTCTTACAGTTAATTGACCGTGTATTTTGTCTAGCACTTTTTCTGCTTCGTCGATGTTCATTAATCCTTCTGAAGCAGTTTTGTGTGCATCAGCAGCAGTAAGGTCCACAGTTTGTGAGATCTCACCAATTTCATTTAATTGATCACGTAATTCATCAAGCTGTTCCACTAGAGTCTTGTTTTCATCTAAAATAATTTTATTTAGAATTCTATTTAGAATAAATATAAATTAATTCAAGAAGTTATACTTACTACCAGATCCTTGTCTTGCGATTTGCAATAGATTTCTTACTCTATCTTGAACGTTCTTTAGTTCTTTCTCGAAGTCTGAATCTTTTATAACCGTTGGACTACTATTAATTTTCCTCAACGTATTTTCTAATTCAGCCAAACGTTCTCTGTGACTATCAGCTGCATCTTGAACAAGATTGTAACAATCTGGACAATCTACGCAACCATTTTGTCTGTTATGTTTGTTTTCCTTGCAACGATCGCATCGTCTTCCTTCTACATTTGGTAGACACTAAAATATAAAAATTAATGATTAAAATAACAGATTTTTGTGAGACTCTCCCAAGTATTTCAACTTACTGGACACTGGCCACTGGCATCACACTGCAAGTCCTGGGAACCGATACTGTCACAGTCACAAGGCTTGCAACCTTCTCGACTGAATCCATATTGGTAAGGAACACATGCATCACAATGTTGACCAGTAACACCAGGTCTGCATTCACACTGCCCAGTAACGGGATTGCAAGTGCGGTTGTAAGATCCTTCAGAATCACAATTGCAAGGTGTGCATCCCTAAAATATATACGATTGATATATAATTATCACATGTATTACTATACTTAACAATGGCTACCCAAAATAAGATACCTCTCCACTTAGAATATGATAATATCCATCTTCACATTTATCACAATTTCGACCAGTTACGTGTGGCTTACAGGTACAATGTCCTGTTAACTGTTCGCAAGGTGCTACTCTACCATCATCGAGTTCAACTGTACCTGGTGGATAACACTGACATAGCTTGCATCCATCTTCTTTACGATCAGACAGAGCATCTCCATAATATCCTATGTTAACATTATAAACATCATATTATTATAAGGTCGTCAATTTAAGAATTATGCAGCCATCCATGTATTACAGACCTGGAAGACATTCTTCGCAATGAAAACCTGCTGTGTTATTTACACATTTCAAACATTCCCCAGTCTCATGATTACAATTTCGAACAGCGTTTAGATCTATGTTATTATTACAGTCGCATGGTCTGCAAGCTATGCCCTCTTCGGGATTTCCAAAATATCCATCTGAACATGTTTCACACCTAGGTCCTGAAGTGCAAACACAGAAATGTATAAACGTTTAAGAAGTTATTATAAATAGCTATATTAATTAGCTTTAAATCCAGTTATATTTAATCTGTTCTATTTACCTGTTCTACCCGATGGGCACTCGGAACAAATCGGATCTGGATTATTGCCAAGTAATATACAAGGTCCATTATCAGGACAGGGACATGGTTTACAATCATCTGGGGTACCCTTCAATGGGTGACCATAATATCCGCGTTTACACAATTCACAATTACTACCAGCTGTATTATGTTGACAAATACACTGCCCTAAAGCAAATTAAATTAAAAATTATAAATATCTAAACATGTACAAATGTCTAGATTATTATTATATGAATCTGTTCAAAAGTAAATACCAGTTTCGGCTTCGCAAATGTCTGCATGACCGTTACAATTACAAGGAACGCAAAGAGCAAAAGGACCTCCGTTTGGTGGGTCATGGTGGAATCCGGGTGCACACGATTCACAAAATTGACCTACATAACCATGAGGACATTGACAATGTTCTACCCAATCAGCTGGTTCACCTGCAGCTCCGCGATGAGCTGTTTCTAACTTAACATCGTCTAAGAATCCTCTACCTACAGAAGAAAAACCAATGCATTAAAAATTTTGCTAATATCATCTGTGACTAATTTTCATGAATGTCTATACCTTGATTCGTGTAAGTTCCACGAATTTTAATAGCTGTCAGGTTCGATAAAACGGACATAAATGCACGTGAAGAGAGTCGTGGTTCCCAACCATAATTAGGATGCTCGTGTAATTTAAAACGATATTCTTGTGGCTGGAATAATTATTTACGAATCAATAAATCACGAACTTGACTAGCTTATTGCTTTACTTACAGTCACAGTAGGCATACGATTGCTTTGTCCAAAAATCGGTTGTGTAATTTGTTCTCCATTTCCTCCTTCAAGAATTATGTCACGAGCAGTCGGCGCAGGACCAGTTTCTCCAATTCTTAGCGTGAAAGATAAGTCTTGGTTGTAAGATGCTCGTTGATCACCAAGAAATCTATCTGCAGATGACAAAATATATCTTTATTAACAATTCTATCTGTCACATTTTGACGATGACAATTTTTATTATTTGAAATTTCTGTTCAAGAAATCGTGTACTTATATTTACCAGGTGCAACGAAGTACACATTGTCTCGGTCCAGTGCCGTGGCAGATATCGTTTGAGTAAGAGGATCGTAATGAAGCGGTATCGGATTTCCAGCCACAGTAGCTGTCCATCGTTCAGCAGCTCTCACGAACATACTCTCAATTACAACTTTAGAATATCCAGTTGCTGATCTGCATACCGATGAATGGCCGTAACAGAAACATGGAGTGCACCCGAATTCGTTCTGTATCGCCAGATTGAAAAATCCTGGTTTGCACCTGTTTATTATTAACACATGGTAATAACAAATTTACAGTATAGTACTCTTTGTATCAAATCAATTGGTTGCTTAAAATTACTATCTTTGAACTGTCTATTTCTAAAGCAAAGTGAAAAGATGTATGTAGTAATAATAAAATGATGAAAAAAATGATATAATGCATCTTAATATTCTGGAATAGCCAATTCATTTTGAGTAAGATATACTAACTCTCTGCATCGTTTTCCTTCAACATTTTCTTTACAGATGCAAATACCACTGATTGGGTCACAGTTTGGTGTATTAGTCAGGGAACCAGCTACATTACATTCGCAGGGAGTGCAACCGTATGAGCCAAAATTAAAATAATTTGCTGCACATCGATCACACTTGTCACCTGTCACACCAGGTTTGCACTGACATTTTCCTTCGCTGTTACATTGTAAATTTCTAGAACCTGTAATATGGTACAACTTTATTATTTTGTACTGTACCACTTTAACACTTTGAGTGCTACTCAAAAATCATGGGACATAATTTTAGTTGATAAAATGATTAAAATAATTGTGCAAAAGTTCAGATGTTAATATATATAATATGGTACTCAAAGTGTTAAGTATTATTATAATTAATCTCTAAATCTTTATAATATATTGAAGCTTGCAAAATATATATTACTTCTGTTTTAAAATTAATTAAAACCAGAATAGTTTACCGATCTCATTGCAGTTACAAGCGACACAATAACTGTCTTCTGGGCGTTGGTAGTAGTTTTCTCGGCAACGTTCGCAATTCGCGCCATCGCGATTAGCTCTGCAATCCAGGCAATGACCACCGTGTCCAGTCGCCTTATACAGTTCCTTATCGAAGTAGCATCTGTCCGAGTAACCATTACAGTTGCAGGCTGAAAAATCGAACTACATTAACAATAATTCCCTAGAAATCCATTGTACTTATCGGACAAGTTGCATAATAAAATACAAATAACGTTATCTAAATATTTACTAGATCCCGAGTACCACGGAAGAATTCCATCCCACCGTGATGATTCACAGATCACCATGTTCACCAGTACAAAACACGCAATTAATTTTATTTTCGATCCCATGGCGGAAGTGTAGAAGAAAGGAAAATAATTTGTTAAGTGACTTTATTTAAATTAGTGTGTATCTGTAATATTAAATGTCATGATCTTCTCTGAACTATTTCTTCTGTTCACACTGACAGATGATGTTTGATTGGAAAGTAAATGTATTCGCGACGCAGTATTGAAATTCTATGAATACCGTTGATAGGTAATTATGAATAGTTAAGAGTTTTAATAATTAAACAAAATTTTGTAATGCTAAGACGCGATACATAAATGTTCGTTTGTATCGCAGTTTCTTAAGCACTGAGTTCGCTCGTGGTCCACAGAAAAGCTGCATTGTGTGCCCCTGTATTGCCAACAATCCCCACCTCGGAACAAGCAACGAACGTAAAAGGTAAAGCTGGTTAGGTAATGCCAACGTGATTGTGAACGCATACTCTCCTCGGCCGCTCGGAAAGGTGATGCTAAACTAACAAGGGATGCTTCAGATGTGGGCCTAAATGATCTTAATGAAGTTTGATAAAATGATGAGTCTTAAGACTCCACAAATTTTTGAGGGCCCACTTTCAAAAACAGTCATTATTTCTTATTCATGCGCTTATAATACATTATTTTTAAATTCCAAATTCATGAAATTCCAAAAATGTATCAAAGTCCCAAATTTCAAAGTTCCATACTTTCAAAATCTTAAAGTATCATTTAACAAATAATCTCATAAAAATCCAAGTTCCCTTATAAGAGATATTTCTTCCTTATCAAAGGACTAATCATTTGCTGCTTCATGTGAATTTATTAAACAAAATTACCACAATATAAAGTTAATATATTAGAAAATATTTTTAGTACAAGATTGCAGAATCTTTTATAGGTTTATATAAAACAATAATAGTGCAAATAGAACTGATGGAAATATGATTTATGGTACAGTGAACCACATGTTTTGATCGAATATAGAATGTGAAAAATGGCCGTTTGAAGAGCAGGTTTGCCAAGGTCCACCTACACACTAACAGAATGCTGGCTCTTCAAAGATATCATCTCATCTGTACGCAGGGTCTATCCGCTCGTCGCGAAAAATCACCCATGTTAGTCTATTAATCTACAGTATTTTTTCACTCCATGATTCGTTGAAAATTAAATTCATACTCACGTTTACATTCGTGGGCGTCAGTGGTGGTAGCACGTCCCCAGGGTGCGTCATTGTAAAAAGGTAAACACTCGTTGCAGTCTGGACCTGCGGTGTTATGCTCGCATCTGCAAATAGTTAAATTTGATTACTTCTCAATTTTTAATATTAGGAATATAGTGACAAAACATCAATGAGTGTAAAGAGTCTTAGATAATTATTTATAAATTATAGAGTGAAGTTATTGTTAATATTAAATTCACAAAAAAAATTAAAAGAATTGCAAAAATTTCTTTATAATCAAATATAATAGTTTTCTGAATTAATTTTAAAGTGTCTCCAAGCTTATCTTTCCTTGTGTATTGTGTTATATAAAATATCCTAAATGAAGATGAATACAAATATTTAATCACTTATACCAAGTCACAGTATGTTAAATTATCTTACCTACATACTCTGCGAGTTCTTCCATCCATACTGGTACTATTTACACATTCCCCGGCATGACCATTGCAGGCACAACGTGCTCCAACGGCGACGTCAGCGATCGCATAGTAGTAGGATTTTAGTACGTGATCATCGCCAAAAACTTCGTCACCGAATGTATTCAGTCTGTCCAGAGTAATCCTTAAATCAGTTGCTTGTACCCATTCCTTAAATCCAGAATACCTTCTCATAATTTATCCATTTTATAACAAATACTGACAGTTTACTTAATTTTAAAAAATATGAGAAGTTTAATGATATTAGTTAATTTCTCTTTACTTAATTGTAATGGAATACCTGTAGAGCTGGATTGGTTTCAAAGTAGTACGCGGAAGGTCTGCCTTCCAGAGTAGAGAATGCGACGGTACCCTTTGTCAAAGGCGATATATCGGAATAGTCCGAGGTACATAGTACTCTGGTATCGTCACCTTGTACCGTTTCTTTTAAATCCGGTAAATCGTAAGTGTCTCTGCAGGACGCCGAATAGAACTGATAAGGTTCCCACGGTGATTTCTCATTTTTCCTCTTGTAGATGCCCCAACTTTCCGGACGCGGTGATTCGAACAACACTCTAACGTAAGTTATATCAAACGTCTTACCTACAACCATTTAAAAGTAATAAGAAAAAATATATAATGATTGACAAGTATTACAAAAAAAATTTAGTACGATACACTGTGACAACAAAATTACTTTATCACATCCACATTTGACATAAATTTAGAAATATAGAAACTAAAAACTTTTAAATTTACCTAAACTCTAAAATTGTCAAATTGACAAATTGTTTTGCAATTTTCAATTCAGGAATTTTATCTTAACTATTACTGTTAATATTTTTTATATCAAAGTTTAAAATTTCCTTTAAAAAGCTATTTAAGAAATAAGCGGTTCCTACGCCATTGCAATTCTCCACTGTAAAGCCAGCGGGGTGCAAGTGGCTGATTCTTTTGTAAATGAACATGTGGCTCACAGACAGAGATTCCATGTACTTCCCATTTTTAAGAAGCGCCTACTATTATCCGGATTCCCGGAACCACTGTTTATATCAATTTACATGCACTAATTTCTCAATCATTTCAAGGATGTATCTGTATAAAATAACGGTAATGTTGTGATACTGGAGTAATTGAAAGGATATCTTCTAACGGCACGTGTTATTAGCGGATCCTGAAAATGTAACGTTACTTGAATAAAAATCATATTAATCACCGTAGTAGCAATCTGTGATATTAATTGAGTATAAATTTATTACGTCAGTAATTAAAATTAATATCCAGAACTGGAACTGTCTTCCATTAAAAAATAGTGTCCATTTCAAAGCAGTGCTCGCCTATGTTTCTTTATCGTTCATGTTCCGAGAATTATCTCATCACATACGCATCCTGATAGATAAGGATGTAGAATGGAAAAAGAGCGGAGGAGGCGGGAAAAAAAGGGCGACAAACATTGAGGAGTGTTAAGAGTTCATCGCGGATACTGATGAATGAACTCCTTTTTTTAATCTACATTCGTTAATTTTATCCGTCTGTAAAGGATGATCTCAATTAACTCATTCTGAATTGAACGCTGCAAAACTTGATACATTATCAAAACCATGTAAATTAACATAGACAGTGAACTCGTTATTCCGAAATTCTGAACGATCAAATTTACAAATTGTCAAATTACTAAATTTTCAAATAGATCTAATTTCATATATCTATACTTGTATATTTCTAAATGACCAATTTTCTATATTTCTAAATTTTGAGACTTTCAAATTTTCAAATTTTTATATAACAAAATTTGAATCTCCCGCGCTGCATACATCTATCCGTGAGCGCACCGAGATACAAAAAAGTACGATTATAATGCAACAGTTATATCATACCTAAGTGAAGCGTGAGATTAACTTGATTGGGGTATTCAATACCCTCGAACATCGTCTCCGATTGCCACCAGGACGCATTATCGTTATTATCCCGATCGGTAAGATATCTGGCCGAATGATCTCCGTACCGACATATCTCGCAAGATTTATTTTGGACACCAGTTTGTTTGCAAAATTCTGTTGGTCGATCTTGACCGCACGTGTTCGTCGCTTCCATAAGCACATTGAAAGCTGCGTTCTCGAAAGGTGGTATACACCTCTATAACAAACGCATTCAAAACCATTTTTATACTAAAATTGAATCCCTTTGCTGTAGCAATTATTAGATCGCTTTATTTCGAATTGCATAATATGTAAGCGTTCAGTATTTTATTTTGCATGTTACAAGTTTTTCTTGACATTTTATATTTAGTTATTCTGCAGTCTTTATAGCTTTCATTTTTTTTAATGAACTAATATAGACTAATATAATACAAGACTAATTTTTAAACGTTTACAAAGTACTAGACTATTGTATTAAAATATTTCTGCAAAGTGCCCACAGCAGATCGTGGTACAGGATCGCCTAAACTTAAATATTTGCAGGTAGTTTCCTTTCCAGGTAATTTCCAGAATATTCCCTTCAAGATTTTCTGCAGTTCTTTACAATAGAATTCCATCCATGCAAAAGAAAGTTTACTGCCGTCAAACCCATTGCGTGTCGTGTACAAATTGTTGAATAAAATTTTATTTAGAAAATATAACCTATTTAAATAAACTGAAAACTGGAATAATTTTCACGTTTTCAGATTTCTTTCGTGCTGTATCTATCTAGCTTTATCTTTCCTAGCTATCGTCGCAAGTTAGTGTAACTTCGAACTTTACGTTGATAACCTAATGTAGTAATATCCTACAAAAACGGAATTTCAATGACTAAGAATAAATAGAATGTATTTGTATTTTCAGACTGGACCATTACTTATACTTCATTATAAACTGTTTAACAATTAGATGCAGTCTTCACTAATTGTAATTAAGGAGGAGGGTGAGCCTCTCTGATCGAAAAATTATTGTAATATGTAATATTAGTAAAATCGTTCTACCAAATTTACAACACCATTGCGAAATAAAATATTTGTTTATTAAATGAAAGTAAAATTAAATTCAGTTCAATAATTAATACAGACAAATTATTATTAAAAATACTGAATACAAACCCTAGGTCTACCATTGTCGTCATAGCATTTGTCTTCGTCTCGCGATTTCTTTTCGAATCGATCTGGGAGATCATCCGCGGGGTCTGGTTCCGCAAATACTGCTATCAAGCAGATCACAGTTATTGATAATATCAATATCTTCTTGTGTTTTCCTCTTGTCATATTTGAATTTCGTTAGGTCAATCCTCCCGTTGTTACTTCAACACGATCACGTGGATTCTCCAAACAACAAACTCTCACTTTTTCCCGAATTTCTTTAAAGGTTAGGGTAAGCACTGATTCTCGATCGGGTCCATCGGCAAGGAGATCCCCCAACAATAATTTTTACGTTTTATTGCTGCGACCGCATTCCGCAAATGGCTCTCCCCTTATCTACCTAATGTTTTTTAATTTCAACGTTAGTTTTCCAAATATCAGCTAAATTAAATGTATTAATTTTCTTTTTTTAAAAATCTAAATTTCTGCAGAAAAAAGTGATACTATTTGAGATCAAATGATACAATTATGTTCAATTTTTTTTTAAATACCATAAAAGAATAAATTTATCAAGTTCAGTGGTTCTCGTTATACATAAAATTTATCCTTATTCTTTCAAAAATATTTAAAAATAAACACCGACGATAATACGATAACGATACTTTGCTTTTAAAATCTATTTCTTGCCGCCTATCAAATCACGTAAGATTACACGTCGCACATATCACGAATCGCAGTTTGAACACGCAATTATTATAACAAACTAAATATCAGTTTTTAAATTCACAAAAATCAAGCTTAAGCTTACAAAAAGAAAAAAATGATCGCTTTTGTTAAGGGAACAACGAGATCTTCGAACAATAAACATTCACAGGTACATGGAACACAAACGGACCGCGAATCGTTCACAGGTTTATCACACAAGTATCGCGGGTTTTTAAAATTGTGAAACAAATTATTCTAACCTCTTCGACCGACGGAGGACTAGCAAACCGTGAAGAAAGACACTCTCCATACGACAGCTCACTGAGAAACTGAAGGAGTGGAGTCGTGACTGAGGCTGTGGGGAAGTCGAATATGTACGCCAATGTTGAAAGCGTTTGTGGTGGTAATACGCCCGCCACTCGTAGTAGAAAGTGCAGGCCAAGAACAAGCTAAGAGAAATGGAATCGTTGGGGTTACATACCGTGCATTATTATCCGTAATAGATTACCGAATTATCGACATTCATGATTCTTGTAATACTGAAACCATTCATGATCTAGATTTGTGAAAATGATTTTATTTCTAATCTACAAACGTTCAAATTACGCAAACGTTTTGCTACTTTGTATACTTACTAATATTTCTTTTACTACCCACAGGATGAGGCTGTAGGATTAAAGAAAATTGTGGGAAAGATCATGTAAACGGAACTCCTTTCAGCGGTTCGCGCCAAAAATGACATTTTTTAAATTGAAAATTTGTAAAATTCTAAGCTTAAAAATTGTGAATTAAAAATTTCCTAATTAATAGAAAGTAATAATCATTTTAAAATATAAAGTATAAATTATGGATGTTTGCATATAAGTAATGTATAAAACGAGAAATTCTGTTTTGGGAATTATGGACCACTTCCATTAGCACTTATGAATAACATTTCGTATCTCGTTGAAACGGAAGTGAGAAGATTACTCGGAAAACTGTGACATCTTTTTTCTACTGTTACGAACGCTATAGTGCCCCAAATGAAATGTTTCTGCTTATTATAATGTTCTATTATACTGAATATTAAATTGCTTATATGATCAATATGAAGAAAAATTCTTTTTCCAGACAATTTTGGTGTATTTTTAATTCATAATTTGTCACGTGGTTAACACTGGGACAGTTATCTTTTTACCAGGAAATGGGAAGAGATACCATAAGTTCACCCACGCATTTACGCTTCTTTCATTAAGTTTAACTATTACTATCATAATTTTATTGGAAATGAAAAATGAAAATTTATAAGGAGACAAAAGTTGTACTTATGTAAAAATATGAGTATACATCACATTTAAAAATATATTTTTCTTAATATTATTTTACTATCAATTATTATGCTAATATTACTACATATACTAACATATACAGTTGTTCATAAACATATCTTTTGCTTGAATTAAAATCAACAGTTGACAAAATCAATTATTATCACTGATAATTGTATATATAAATTAAAAATATTTATATCTGTTACAAATAATCATAATTATACGCATTCAGTCAGTGTAATTTAAACAAACATAAATTCAATAAAAGTATGATTAACATATAAGCAATATGTTATGAATTTAAATTAATTTTAATTTTATATGTACAATAACAATTGATTTGACAGTCTAAATTTTTACAAACATATTCATTGCTTAATTTCACAGTACCAAATAAAATTATACGAATAAAAATTTGTACGATTTGTCATTGTAATAAAATTTCGCTATCAATAAGCTTATGTTTTCGTAAAATTAATTGAGGTAATTATTGTTTAATTACTATGTCTTAATTCGTCGTAGTAAATTATATACGCTTTTTATCGGCATCAAGAAGCATGGAGAAGTAAAGTTTCAGATCATCAAGATTTCTAAATATATTTTCCGCAGGGACTTCTTTATCGTTCGTAGTATCGTTATCGTGTCTAATAAGAAGCGCATTCCAGTTTGCATTTTTCGCGCCATTGTAGTCGTTATTGACAGAGTCGCCAATATGTATCGCCTCCTGGGGAGCTATATCCACACTATGTCGTTGTTTTGTTAATCTAAGCGCTTCATCGAATATCGAGGTGTCCGGTTTCTCCATACCGAAATCATAGGAGGTTAAAACGAAGGAAAAATATAAACGTATTCTCGTGTCTTCGAGTATCGCTTCCAGTCTCTCGTCGAAATTCGATATTACCCCTAAGATCACATCCTTTTTGCGAAGATACTCCAGTAATTCAATCGTGCCCGGATACTTGTGCCAACACATACTTGTACCGTAACATTTTATCAAACTGTTAGCAACCTATGGGTCATAATGATAAATAGGGTCATCGATAGTAGGTATGAGTTTGATGAACTAAATTAATTCGAAAATCCTTACTCTTTTTTTATCGTTTTACTTTTCATATAATTACATTTCATTTATAAATTTTATTTCATATAACTAATAAAAGTGTTATAGAGAAAATCTTCATTTCTTTGAAAATTGCTAATAATTGAATTCTAATAAATAAATGAAAATGCAAAGATCGTGAATGCAATACCCTAATAATAGATATTAAATATATTAAACATTCTCGTTCGAAACAAAAGAATTGAACATTTAAAAAATTAATTAAAACTAACTACTTTTTAAACCAAATTTAAAATGCAATTATTATTACAAAAATATAATACATATATTACCTTATCTAAAGTTGCATCCGAAACATAATTGTGTTGATCCCTAAAAACATTATGAACTATCTTTCGCCACCAATTTTCCCATCCTATACCCGTGTGTTTCCCATAAATAGGATGTTCTGTACTAAGTTTATGAAAGCTATGTTTGAAACTTCGCGCCAATTTATGTGCATCAACTGACAGGCCGTGCTGCGAGCCAATTTGCATGTAAGGTTCTTCTAACCTTGTCATGAGCAATGTACCGGTAACATCGAACGTTATCAATCGTGGTCGAATGAGTTTAATCATTGTAAAACCTTGTCTATAAATAAAAATAACAAATATCTAGTTCATTACTCTTACTGAATAATACTAGAGTAAAAAAATTACACTTGTCACATCACGAACGACACTACCAATCGACTTCACAAAGAAGACCTTTTTAACATATCCAGCGCCGCCAAAAGATAGCAATAAAAATTTAAATTTTCACGTATTGCAAATATTGGTTTTACCTTACCTTTTTTCCTTATCTTTTTTGTATAAATAATTTACTTTATCATCTTACTTATATACCGTGTTTTGAAAACGAGATTTTAATATTCTTAATAAAATTCTGTATCATGTATTCGATTACACTGTTAATGACCTATATTCTTCTGCAGAAATGTAAATATTTTAAAATATTGTTATTATTAATAAATAAATAGCAAACGCAATAAAATAAATACGTAAAAAGATAGAAAACTGATGAAAGAAGCGCCGCGGGTAAACTCGTATACCTCGTTGCGCAGAATAAAAATATGACGACTATTTTCACGCCGTTAACACGTGACATTTATAGACAAATGGAAAGCACGCGAAGATTGAAAGTGTCAAATTTCCCATGACCAATTTTTCTGTATTAAACGTTTTAATTGCTAATGTAGTTTAAACGAAATTTTTTAATTTCTAAGGATTTAAAAATGTTGAGTTTGAGAGAATTCAATGTGTTTTTTAATAAAGAAATACTGATTAATTTACAGTATTAATTTTTTACAAATTATAAAACAAATGTGTCTATTTTGGAATGGTAGTTGACAGCATATTTCATACGGTACTTACCCTTAACCATGAATAATTTGTGCTTTTGGCAGATCAGCTGAGTATTAAAATAGACATCGTGTATTAATATATAAATGTCAGATAAACCACTGTATACAATACATTACATTCCCTGTGCTTTGTAACCGGATAAAACGTATATATATATTTAAAAAAAAAAATTGTTAAATTATTTAACCGGTTCAAAGTCGTAAGGAATCTTCAAGATTCATGAATCTTATTCTAAGCAATGATTCAAGAGAATTTATACCAACTTTATATACAATATTTTAATCAATATTTTTAACAATTGGAATAAGTACATAATACTTCCTGCGGTTTATTTGCCGCATAATAGATAAAAATGTTCATACAGTATGCAATGTACACAAGCATTATTTTGTAAAATACGTGTAAATATATATATGTATCATATCGTAGATACAATATAATGTAAAAAAAGAACGATTATGTACAATTGTACTTATGTATATATATATATAAATGTATATAGTATCAATTACAAAACATTACTATTCGAAGTGTTTCTAAAGTAATAATAGTAACATGTGCTTCTTATATTGCTATTGGTACGTATAGATCTTATTGCGTTCTCTTACATTGTATGAAGAAAAGAAATATATCCAGTGAAAAGTTTGGCCATTTGACATTGTTAAGTCAGTGTATTGCGTGTATTGTTTCTTATTTTATTATAAAATCGCGTTTGGCTTTGCACTTACTCGAATTAATTATGAAGGTCCATATTGCCGTCCAGTTTGTACCGATAATTCAAAGGAAAAATTTAAATCTTAATTCGGTAGAGCAGGGTTTCTCAAACTACCTGATACCGTTTCAACTTTTGTCTATTTAAATTTCGTCACTACTTTTCAAGTACAGGTTTATTTTATTTTCTTTATTAAGATTAAGTAAGTTTTGAATACAAAGAATTTCTACAAAAAAAGCTTTGAATATTTATATCTAACATTTTGAGTTAAGCATTTTGCACTTTCGTTCAATCGTCCCGATCTTAAGGAAATTTTTACCACAGTGTTTTAATTGCACTTTTACAATTTTCGAACAACGTTCAATTTCGCACTTATCTACTTATAAAAAAAAGTTTCCACTCGGAGAAAAGCTGCTCGATTTAGTCTTAAATTAGCGACAATAAAACGTGTCCAAAGAACAAATGCAAAATGCTTCGACGCAATATTTTAAATAATCTGGTGATCTCTAATTAAATACATCCTACTTTAACTTTGAGAATCCCCGCAATAGCGAATTCTCTTCAGCTTCTCTACGTTCTCGAGTCGATGAAGCCTTCCTTAAAGACAGTTTTAAATATGTACGTCGTACTGACTAATCATCACAGCAGAACAGCAAAGACGTAATAATAATTAATAATAATAATAGTAGATTCGTTTCACGTAAATCCGTATAAAGCAAAAAACATAAAAGTTCAGAAATATAATTCTAAAAAAACATTGCGCGCATCCCCTTATATATGTCTATATATACGATTTACGTTATCTATCAAAATTTGGTATCTCACAGACTTCTTTTATATGTGTATATATATATTAGATGTACATATTTTTTTCTTCCTTTTCTACAATATATAGTACAAAATCTAATTCACGATTGGTGTTGATTTGTCGATTTTTAGTTTTGTAAAATTTCTCATAAAAGAATGAAAAGAGAGAGAAACATACGAGTGTTTCAGAAAAGTTGTACCATCTAAACATTATAAATTTTTCATGTTAAAAGAGATTTTTTAATTCGGTATTGATATTGTGGATTGCAAAATGATTTCAATTTGTTTTGGCATGGAAAATCTACAACTTTGAGATTGTATAACAATCTGTTTGGAACACTGTACGTTCACGTTTGTACAGAAAAAAAGGAAAATGTGATAACACGTTGGCTGCCATAATGGTACAAGCTAAAAATCTTTAACACCTTACAAACTGGAAGATTACTGATTCAGATATGACTATTTCTTTTTTAAGTATAAAAATTTAATTACATTTTTTTAAACAAAGCATGGAATCATCTGAGTTGACAATTTTATATTAGCCATTATTAACAAAGAAAAAGTTATGATGAAAAACTTCATGATGATAATAACTCTAAAATATGTAAAATTTAAGAAAACCTTAATGGTACATATTTTTCCAATTTGTATTAATAATTATATAGTATAATTCTTAAACTATGAATAAGGTGTTAAGGATACAATTTTAGAATTTGAACTTTCCATTACCTTAAGTTAATTGGTACGTTACTAGAACTTTCCTATTTCCCATAAATCCGTGTTCAAGGAAGGGTGGACCCCGTCCGTGGCAGTCAACGTGTGAACCTTTTCGCTCAATACTAAAACTGTCGACTTACCACGTAGTTACGTGACTTATTTCAGTACAAATTCTATTCTACTTTTATTCTACTTTATTCTGACATATTCTATTCCATTATTCTCTTTCTGTATTATATTTTCGTACAAAAGTGACTATAGTCATCCTATCCATAATGGATGTCTATGGTCATCTTTCAGTAACGAAAGGGTTAATAATCTCGCGTTAATCGTTCGAATTTCATCGTGACTGATAGATTGCTTATGAGTAAACTGTTTTATTACAAAGTTGTACATAGCGAAAAAAGTGGTATATCTGTTCCTTTCGCATCATAGAATCGATCCATCAACTGCACCCCGTTCGAAACGAGCTGTAGAACAATGTTTCCATGATCATTGTACGTATGATTGGAATTGCCGTGTATTAAGTCTAAATTTAACATACAATATGTATATACAAATATTTTATACGATATTTATATATATATATATAATCATTGCGATAACGAGATATATTTGTTGCGGCAGTCATCGTTCCTTATCATTATCAAGTTAGAATTTCATTAGTATATGCACGAATGATACAATATATCCTCGCCTATCTCTAATAGTTGTATGTAAACAAAAGTTATCCACTAAATACATCAATCAGTCTCACAATCGTTTATATCTTTAATTAATTGATGCAAAAAATGTTTCTTTCCCTTTCTTTACTGTCTGCTACTATCGCAATTTGTTCATACAAAATTAACACCTTACCTTACAATTAATACAACTTTTGTAATTTGGAATTGTAAAATTTATGTACATTACAATTACCACGTGTGTGGATTTCTTCAATTTTTAACCATTGCCTTTGGCATAACTAGGTGAGTGCCTGGGTGGTGTTACGTGCGGTGATATAACGCGAGACATAAGGCTGGCCCTTCAGAAAAAGATCCTAATTACGCCAATGGTCACGGTTAAATTATAAAACTTTATTCAAATGCATATTTGATTTACAAATAGCAGGTAAAGTGTTAAGTTTACTTTTCTCATAACATTATATTTCACATATATTACTCTCCGGGCCATATCGTTTTAAAATCCTACCGTTTCTTCTCTCAGATTTCATACGAATTCAAACGAATCTGACGTGACACAAGTATCGTAAAACGAACAATGAACGAGGGATGAAAATAAGGAACAAAACTATTTCTGAGACTGAATTATCGCACCAGTATACAATAGATAAATGCAACGATGAGTTATGATAGTTTTAAAATGTTACAGAATCATCGTTAAGGAAAAAACAAACAAAATATCGTTCTTCGAAGAATCGTTTGAATTCTCTCTGTCAAATATATTAGCTAGGAGCATCGTTGACAAAAGATCTCGGTTATTAAAAAAAACAGAGAATACTCTCTTTTCGTACGTTTCTTCATCGCAAAATATTTAATATCGGAATCTGCCAGGTCACTGTAGTAAAATACTTGCACCATTTTCTTTTCTTAATGCTCTCTCTCGCTCACTCTATCACACAAGGAATATTTCAAATATGACACTCATCGACTTCAATTATGTAATTTGAAAATTTAGAAACTTGATCATTTCAAAATTTAGAAATGTACAAATATACAAATATCAAATTCTTAGATTTCCCAATTTTCAAATTTCCAAAAAAATCTAGAAATTTGGTAATATAATTTAGAAATTTAAAAATAAGAAATTTCAGAAATTTCTAAATTCTCAAGCTTTTTTCAATTTCAAACTTTTATAAAATTCGCTGAATTACAAATACAGATTTATCAACCTGCTGTCATTAAAATCGTTGAGAGCCATATTTGAGGCGTACCTTGTCAATCAGTCAAAAATGTTCGTTTTCAAGGGACATTTCGTGAAATGATGACGAAAGTGAGAAATGCTAGTCGACCATCGACACGATTCGCCAGTCACGCAATTTTTTGCCAAAAAACTTCATCCATTTCGTCAATCTTCGATTTTCTGTGCACCAGGTTCCTCTGAATCTTTTCAACACTTTTGACGTATTTAAACGATGTATTGTATGTCGCAGATTTTTCATGTAAATATGCGTATATATATCTATATACAAGTATTAAAACTTTGTTACATAAAAAATCCTCGATGGTGTGTCGATTCTCCACCGTGCTTTGATTTTTGTCTTCCTTTTTATGAAAACTTTCCTTTTTACAGCTTCTATCGATGAAATCTCGTGTGATGCTTTCGTTCGCTTAAAATAATCGTACATGTAGTTTGCAAGATTCACTGAAATAGAAAAAAGATAGTCAACTTCCAGTGTTTAAATCTTATAAAGACATCAGAGCGTATGTTTGAAAAAACTCTTATGTGATCCCATTCCTATATTTTAACAATTTTTGTATATTTTCAGGAAAACAAAACTTCCTTGGATACTATTTGTTTTCAAACTAATATTAAAAATTAGTAATATTGAACATTTAACCATTTGCAATAGTTTCCATTGAGTAACCAGAATTTTGAACACCACATAAGAGTTGAAATATAATTAACATCCTTTGTTATAACAGAAATTTTGGAAGACTGACGAATGTTCTTTTTTAAGTACATCATTCTCCGTGTGTCTGAATCATTTTCAATATTTCAATAGATCTCACAAACTGTACTTTATAAAATTTGTATCTCTTCAAGGTTCAGTAGATCAAAAATGTATCTTGATTATATTGTACCCTTTTTCTTACAAAAAAATATCAGATTCAAGTTACATGATAGCAATATGCACGGGAATTTCAATGTTTTTATTAAACCGAATTTTTCTAAAGGACGTCTAGTATATGTATATTATTAGAAACGACATACGCTCCTTATTCTAACATAATGTCACCACATTTATGCAACATGATTTGATGTTATTTCGCAGCCGTTTACAAATATCCTATGTAACATTACTTTTGATAGCTGCACGTACAATATATCATATATTCTTCTTTTATCAATAAAGTTTCAATGCATTATCTTCGTTTAAAAACGCACGAAATTGTTTTGTATTCCTTACGTATCACGCAATCATGTTTCTTTGAATATGAGAGTACTTTTGTATTCGTTACAAAATTTCCTTATATAAGCTTATCTGAATACATATATAGTGCCTAATCAATTTGTGGGCACCGTGTATAATTTTCCTCTTTCTTAAAATATAAAGAACTCAATAGATTAATATTCACACACATTTGTTAGTTTATATATATATGTACAAATATATATATAAACTAACTGAAAATAAATAATTCACTGAATATTGCCAGCAGATTGACCTGGAATCAAGATTGATCCTAACTGCGCCCTTCTTTTCTGGCAGTGGTACAGAAAAGTTTATTTCATAAAAAGCAAAGATTAATTTGTATAAAAATATATATATAAATTTATGTAGAAAAGGAATAGCATATATTGCAAGTAAATAAACTTACAAAATAAATAAGTTAAACAAATATTTCTTATATTCTTTTTTTATCTGAGGAAGGATCATAGAAAGTTATAAAGGTCGTTTAAAAAATTATATTAGCTATGCGCTGAACGAGTATACTCTAGAAAATCTTAATTGTAATTTGAGCCTTTCAAGTCTGAAAAATTCTCGACATTTAAAAAAAAATCAATCTTACATGATAAGTGCTAAATATATGACCCTATGATCCAACCTTTATCCTTGACATATATTAATTATTATATAAATCATAACGTGTGAGTTACAACAAAAACGTAGTTATTAATATTCACAGTAAAGAGATCATGAAGTCTCCTAGTCCAAAGAAATATACAACTGCAATTTGTCGAAGGACAAGGTGGTTAACATTGTCCTTAGACAAATTGTTATTTCGATGTTTGATTCCATATGAAAAACTGTTATAGTTTCCTTGTTACTTAACGATTGTCAATGAGCTTAAGCCAGATGGGCAGCGAATGTGGCATTTCAAAATTTCAATCAAATACATGTGCAAAGAAAAAATTTACTACATGAATTGCCAATATCCCAGAAGTAAAGTAGTCTTAAAATTCAGTTTATTATTTATATTAAATTCGATTAAAAACTTTCTATCATGCACAATATTATATAAAATTGAATATAATGTATTGCACATTCATCATCTCTAATTTCAATTTTATAATTTAGTTAAACATTATATTTTCATAAAAAGTTTGTATCATTGATCAAATTGTTTCGCCCTAATATAAAATAAATGCATATCTTTCATACCTCTTTGGCTTTATCATTAAAATTATTTGACTGGTACATGCAGAAATGATATTATTTTCTAAAATGATTACTTGAAATGCATCTCATAAAATGTGGTCTTAAAAAAGTTGCGGTCACTCCTGGGCTTGTTGCAAAAAATATATGTATATATGTAATATATTTAAATTTGGATAATGTTTTGTGCGTTCTGAATTAGGTATGGACCGAAAAAATAGGGGAAAAAAAAAAAAAAAAATGAAGTGAATGATCCAATCATCACAGTAATCTGCTTTTAACAGGTACTTTTGTGTGCTTTTTGTTCTGTCATGTGCCCATCTCTGAAAACTAGGAACTAACAGTTTTCACTTATTTAGCATTACACTTATTTCATATGTCAATTAATCCGCTATTAATCGATTTGTTTTTACATTAATGCTGCAGTCACCCTGAAATATTATAACAAAGTTTGCTGGTCCAGTTTGCCAATCTGATTGCCACATTCTCATTCAATTTCTCTCTCTAATAATACTGTCTAAATATATCATCATACTGATATGATGCTATTCAACAGACTTCATTTATTTTATCATAAAGTTACTTTTCGTATTATTGCTATTAATGGGGTCAGGATTTACAGTACCTGAACACATTCGTCTCTTAAGTTGAATTACTTAATTTTTAACGTCATGGACCTTTGCATAGATCATATCAAATGCATCTGGTACAATGTAGCTATCATGACCCTAACTGAATTTTTCTTTTAATTTTTGGACCCAAATGTTTGAAAAAAGTGATTGGCATCTTGGAACTTCTGTACAAATATTCACATATACAATTGCAATAGTAAATAGTCCAGAAAACTAAAAGCTGTGGATAAGAAAATTTTTTTATATCATAAAGTACATTAACTAATGTTTAGGACGAAAGTACTATAAACTGCCATTCACTGAATAGTATCTTATATCTCATGTTACATTACAATGTCATCACAGTAGTTTGATGTACACAGCTAATTATTATACTTAAAAGATAATTAAAAACTCTCCATATGTTGGAATTATTTATGAAGAGTTAATAATTATGATGTTCACGGCAGTTTATAAGTATCCTATATATGCTACAAACGGTTACTCAGTAGAAACATTGTGCTCTTTATCATTTATCTTTTTTTAAAATTACCTAACAGACATGGAATACGCTTCAAAGATTCACGTCTATAAAGACAATATATCATATACAATTATATATATTTCTTTCAACAATCAACGATTGAAGACATGAATCTTTTTTAATCTTTCCCAAGAGCACTATCTCTCTACTTACACCTTATAACAGTTACTCTTCTAATTACAAGATTTCATTTTTACCATTCATAACATTATAAACTCTCTGTACTCGATATGATAAAACTTAAACACTCTTATCCAAAGCCTTTGTTGTCTGGAACAGTAATAGTAGCATACGTAACACACAATTTTGCATCGCATTATACATCTAACTACGTAAGAAAAAAATAAATTAAAATTCTATGAGAGACTGACATTAATTAGAGACTGATTGCCTGGAGGAGGCAGCGTGCATGGCAAAATCGACGAGTGGATTACTTGGGACGGTAACAATGGAGTGTGAAGTACTACTGCCTAAAGTAACATTAGCAGAAGAAACTAAGGACAATGGCTTACAAGTCAGTTGATCAATTTGTTTTATAGGTACCAATTTAATTGGCACGTCTGCTTTTAACCTGACAGCTTCCGATACTGGTATAGCTTTTAATTGAACACTTTTTAGTGGTTGTATCTTAACTGCTGGTTTTACAATAGCACTTGTATTCTGAATGATTTTGGTAATCTTACTCTCGCCAACTCCTTGGTTCGAAGATTCATCATAGCCAGAATCTGAAGATGAATCACTAAACGTCTTACTTGTTTGTTTAGAGACTGTTGTCTCTGTACCAGACTCTACACTATGGGCAGGACTAGCAGATGCAGAACTGTGAACAGGACTGGCTGATGCAGAACTATGTGCAGGACTGCAACTTAATGCACTTGTCTGTTGTTGGCGTTGTTGCCGCGCTATACAACCAATACAAGGCTTTATTAATGAAGGATCCACTATAACTTCCCCATATGGGCCTTTAAATATTGTTCCACAACAAATTATCTCCCTAAAAAAACACAAAAGTAAAGTAATGTGTTTGCTTCATAAATCATTAGATTTTATAATACTTTATGAAAAATAATAGGACACTAACCTCTTAAAATATGTTAAATCAATAAAACCATTAACAGTTAAGTCATCCTTTGATTCTGATTCATCCTGCATATCTAACTGTTTTTCAGTTACTGGAATATCATCACTACCTACAGGACTACCAGCTCGACTTGAACCTTTACTGCCATCTCCATTCAAATAGTCCTCTACATAAGAAGAAAGATAATAATAGAATATAATTAATTTTTGTAATACATTCACAATTTTTTATTCAAAAATAAAAATTTTAAAAACCAACCTGTCAAATCATCACTCATTGCTGGACTTTGTTCTCTGTCTCTATCAGTTTTCAAATACATGTGTTTCTTTTTCATAATCTTCTCAAATTTTTCTGGTAAATCTTTTATTTTCTTTTTGTTTTTTGATTTAAATTTTGTCAATGACTTGATACCAGGTCCTGCACGTGCATCAACAACCTACACAATATAAAACAAGATATTTATATATTTAACTGACTAATGCAAATAAACAAATATTGCACTGATTTACTGTGGAGTACTTACATGTCTCCAATTGCGATTACTTCCTGCTGGTAATTTTTTCCACCTTTTGACAAGGAGTACACATGCATTACAAATTTCTCCTGTTCTCCTTTCTTCAAGTTGGAAGCATTCAATAAAATCATCCTCATATTTTTTACTATCTGTAAATCTCGAACTGCATGCAAGAAATAATCATATATTATTACATCATAAAATAGTTAATTCACAAAGTAGTATTTTGAATCTGTTATAATTACTAACCTGCTGGATTTTGCTTTACAGATGCAGCATCCAGTGCTAGATCGATACACCTTTGGCTTATGAAAACTAAACATTTTGCACGTTATTTTGAGACTGCTTCTGTAAAAGTAAAATGATTAAATAACATTTTTAAATCAATACGTGCTACCATATTAAAATTTTATAAAATCTTACATAAAGAAAGTATATCACACGTTAACAAATTCACAAAAAACCAATAAAAGTTTATTCCAACCAAATTGATTCCAATATTTTTTATCAGAATTTATTATTTGTTTATGTTTACAATAGTAAGTAAGCACCTACAAAGAAGAATTTCATATAGGCACAGTAATAATAAAATAATCGTCAACCGTATGTTTTAACGCGTCCTGAATGTAATTGTACCTTCACTGAAAACAGCATGTTTCGTTGATCGTGACAGTAGTCAAAATTAGCTCCGTTCTGTCCGTACGTGTATCGTAAAAATCATGTAAAAAGTTTCAATCGCGATAATCTGTCATGACGAGAAAATCACTGATCGTCACCATCTTTATTATTACTTGTTTACATCGATTCGTTGCCAGTTCTGTAACTAACACCGCGATTTCGGCTTGACAGTGTATACGTGCAAGACGCTACGCGCTGTGACGCACGCACGCTACTAGGGGGCGTCCATAATCTCACGAATCCCCACTTTATATTACATGATAAAACTGTAAAGAAAAACAACGTGCTAAAGGAAATCGACACTTTACAAGTACTTCTTTCTACATAGAATCACCAAATATCACCTGTCACTTATGCTACACGGTTGCTTAATATCGGTACCAACTTATCAGTGTTACAAATCGAAAGATCCACAATGCATTCGATATGAAAGGATATCTTTCCAGAAAGTTATATACAATTTCTTTTGTACTGCATTTATCGTTACCAATAAATTAAACAATTATTGAAGTGTAAACATATTTACGATATTACGATGTACGTAATTCAATATATGTGAATAAACACTAATGCTAATGATTTATGGATCATTGCACGCATCATATGTAAACAAACTTTCTAACAATAAAAGTATGATCGATTTAATAGCAATCGATCGTTTATACCGACTCTGCAACTTAAAAATTTATCAATAATTGAATACCTTAATTAAATGATAAGTTTTATGTTATAAAAAAGGCGAGATTAATATCAATCTGGAAGAAGTAGACGGAGGAATAAAAAGCTACGGCGTGTCGACAAAACATAAGTCTAAAAATAGGGAGCGTGAAACCACAACAAAGTGCAATGCGCTCCTAATACGATAAAGGATAAAATAACTCAAAATATGAGTATTTTTTATTCATTTTTTTACGTTTTACATGTAATGAACTATATTTACTTATTTGGGCACGTTTATGTATATTGATTTAACGATAAAAATTAGCGGGCAAAATTTACAAATCGTTGATATATCTAAATAATAATCAATTATTCATATGAATATCAAAAGAATAATCAATTATTGCCAATATTTGTTTGTTTCAATGAAATTTCAAAATCAGTGACTTACACGTACAAAAGATTCAATGAAAATTTTTGTTATATAGATAAGGATTTTATTCCAGCAATTTCGCCGTTTCATATGCACTTGGTGCATGTAAAACCGACAAAGTAGTAAATGCAACGAGTGGAGGCAAACCAGTTTTCCTTCGATATGCCGAATTTGCTCTGTATACTACCCATTCGTCCTTGTCTTTCTCAAGGATAATTTTACTCAGTAGCGTAATACGAACATTTTCGGTAATTGTTATTACAACAATGTTGTATTACCTGCTCAAAAGAATTTCGAAAAAAACAGTAGTCTGCTTAGTGTTTAACGCGAGCCCATAATATCACTGTTCAAATAACATCTATAACGTAAAAATAAAAATAAATCCTATATGTACTTATAATCAATTAAGAAGCTGCGTTTCGGTATATCAACTTTTTACGAAAATCAAATCTTACCGGTAAATTAAAAATTACGGAGAAGGGCTCCACTTAATAATTGCAAGAAAGTTAAAAAATATATATGCCTATAAATAAAATTAATTTGTGCGAAGTACGAGTATAAGAAAACCCCCGCGACGTATAATCTACAGTCCTCAATGCTAACGTCTTTCTTAGACTCAATGCACGACATATTTTTTACTCATTCTGGGAGTGGCGCCATCGGTAGTTCAAACCACAAAGTAAGAATGTTGCAACGTACTATACGCAAAAAAATGTAAATGTGCTTTCGCCTCGTTGCAGTCGATGATTATAGTGGGGGACGATGTAAGGGGACATCAGACAACAGGAAGGGGGGAAAAAGAGGAGGGTATAGCGATGTTGCCACGTGGTTTGTTGATCGGTTGCCTCTTCATCCCGATACGACTCAGATCTCTGACCCCCACTGCACGCATGTTAAATGGTACTTACACACTTTGCGTATGTTTGTAAATTAAATATCAATATTGATACACAATTTAATTAACACCAATTGATAAAAACATATTGTAATTATTATACTTCTATTTCCTCTGTTTGCATGACATAGTTAACAACCAAAAAATTTCTATAAAACTGCCGATATTAAGCACTGAATTTCTGTAAAAAATATCCCAAATTATAAATGACATGTACAGCAAACGCAGTGAATATATGTGTGACGTTAAATTGGTTTTATAATAATTAGAAATTGTCATTATTTGTTCAATAATTAAAATAAAACAGGATTTGTGTTAACTTATGTTAAATACCCTTAAAGGAGTGAATATAACAAAAAAAATACACGTCCAAACAAAGTGTCCCTGACACGCTAACTTAGTAGTTCAACTTTCGTTCTCACTTTTACAGTGGCTCCACGGTTTTAAAAATAGAAGGTACCATCCCATCCCTCGATGTAAATGCATGTCACGACGAGATTATATACGTTTCTGTACAAATTATCATAAAGATGGCATTGCATTCTACACCCACTAAGTAAACAATGAGCAGGATTGCACCTAATAATAAAAATACTTGAGTCTGGGGGACTTCAATTTTGTTAAGGCGATCCTTAACGATGTCGCAAGTATCTGATCGAGATGACCTACATTATGATAAAACAGGTTCCGGTATTTTGGTCACAATAAAAATGTCCAGACATATTTCTTTACCATTCGGACACGTAAACTTAGACGTATAAAAATGTCTACAATTGAGTATATAATTGATCACACTTACGAAAAATGAATGTCAATACGTGCATTTCAAAATGGTTTATTAAAAATCGAATTCTAATTGACATAAAATATGTCGCGTAATAAATGTATCAAAATAATACATGTACCAAGAAAATTGTTTATGTTCACTTCAATATTCCAAATTGTCTATATTTTATTGTTACGTTATTATTCATATGAAAAATTTTATACTTTGTATGAGAAAAATTGTACCGTCAAAAATTTATATGTGAAATAAAAAGATGTCATCGTGAAAAAGTATATCAGTTCAATGGAGGCTTCGGATTGTCAGTATGCATGGTCAATATTTTAGAATTCTCAATATTTTTATTAATAACATATAATATATTGATTATTAATTTGAAAATTTTGCGATTTGAAAGTTCAGGAATTTTGAATCTGGAGATTTAAAAATTTGAAAATTCGATAATCTGGGATTGGAAAAATTGGTAACATCGAAGTTTGGGAGTTTAGAAACTTGTGAATTTGGACATTTGTAATTGAAATTTATTGACATTACTAGAATATTGACAATATTGCACTGATAATGTACATTTATCCTGAGAATTTTTAAATACAATACGTATTATCAGTAGCTCTATATTTTCCATTAGTATTATGATATCGTTAAAAAAATCGAAAATTTTTTTTATTCGATTGGATACAAGACCCATCAATTTTCAGTGGATATGTAAGATTCGATCGTAATCATGGGACTCCCTTCTTGAACATGAGTCTCAACCGAAGATCACTCACGACAGGTCGTGTGCCATTTTCACAAAGACAAAAAAAGAAATCTACCAACAAACGTGGTGCACCGAACGAAGGACGTGCGCAAGCAAGAGATCGACATGGCGCGTGGCATGATACAACGGTCGCCATCGTTGATTCCTTCCCTTCCCACTACTCTAACCAACCCCGTCCCGATAAATGCACAGTATGTCCACATTAAACACCGATCGATTATGATATCCATTTCGATTAATCTCTTGGAAATTATTCAAACATTTTCTCTCGAACAGCCCATGTGACAACGTTAACTGACATGCGTTTTGATAGAACAACAATGCGAAAAGTCAACGATACGATACCCGCCACAAGCGGGCACGCCATGACAGATGATACGGCACGCACAAACAAACAAGTCTACTTGCCAAGTGGAGCACCGCGCAGGTAAAACGCGGGAATCATTGTCGATCCAAAAAATGAATAACACGTAACGACCGATACATTCGTATACGATAATAAACGAACACCTTTTCTGTGCGTTATTCGATGTTCTGTCAATGCGACGACGAGTGCCGACAATGAAAAATCCATGAAGGTACGCGGCACCAACGATCTGGTGAAAGTTTCGCGCTACACTTGACATAAACCATTGATATTTCGATGATCATAATAACGTGGGATAAGGATGAATCAAGGGAACAACGAACGAAAAAGCTGTAACGAAAACTAAATGTATCGGCAATGATACAGCAGCCTAGCAGATTCTGACCCCGGAGCCGAAGACGCTGACATCTCGGAACATATTTATGCAAAACACGTGAGTAATTTCGCGTGACAATCTACGAAGCTGCTGACAACGTGTCGCGTTGTTAATACGTCGTATTTTCATGACACGTGCTCGCGATATTTATATTAAGATGTTGAGATTAATGACAGCAGAGTCGCTTACCTTTTCAATACAGGTGACGGCCAGATTTGAGAACTCCTTTGCGCAGGCCCAGAGCGCTGGCTCTGTTGTATACTCTAGTCAAACGAGCATCTATTAATACCGAATAAGAGATTACTATTTTTATATACCGTTGTCACTTTTTAACTGACAATAAATGTATTTTTTATTAAAATATTAATGTATGTTGTATGTGATCCTCTTTCGACGACAGGAAAAGTGTGAAATATAAATTTTCTCTTACTGATATAAGTTTGACTTCCGGTGAAGGATTTGATTTTTGCTAGACAACAGTTCGATGGAGTACCACTAGGGCTCCGTAACAGTAAAAATTGTAATTTTTTAAGATAAAAATACCATTGAATCGTTTATTTTTACCGAAGTTTAACTTATGAATCTGTTTGTAAATGATAAAGTTAATGATTCTTATGGGAAAATGGTTTCTGTCAGAGTAATTCGAATAAAATTGCGGTAGCTTAGTAACAGCGGAGGTAGCGCCACCTTTGTGGATAACGAACATAATGAAAAGAAATTATGTATAGGTATTATTTCGTGCGACGGGAGATCGTACTCAATTCGCGCAACGCGGCTAACTTCAGTACGTTCTGAATCATTTGCTGTTGTCCAGTGGACAATATACACGGTGGACAAAATATGCGAATAGCAAGAAGAAGCACAGAGATCATTCACGATCTGAACACTTGAGATGTAAAAATTTCGGAATTTGAGAACTTAGAAGTTTGATTATTTGAGAATTTATAGATTTAAGAAATTAGGAATTTGAAAATTTAGAAATTTGGGAATTTGTATCACCGAGTATGCATGTTTAGCATATGAGTGCCATAAGTGCGCATGTACGTGCTCTTAGATACGAGAAATGCTGCAACCAATCACAGCTGATATGCGCATAATGAATAAAATCTCGTCAAACAATGAGTGTGATCTCTCGTTGAGTGGAATATAGATGTATATAGATATGAATATATAGTGACAAATTTGATCGATGCTTACTATCAAGAGTTTTATTATTACAATATTAAATCGCATAGAGAATCGTAAATCATTTATTACATTTTTAAACAGAAGGAATTTATATTGGAAGTTCAATAACATCTTTTGAACTTGGGAACATGAGAATGAATACTTAACAAATACCATGATTTGCCATCTATCGGCAATATCTTTGAAACAAAAATAGATATTTTTACTTTTTATTTGTTAGGTGGTCATTGAAATGAAAACAGCTGATTGTATCATTTTGACGTTGTTTGGTGAAGATAAAAGTGCAAGTAGTTATCGCTGTAAGTTTATGACAATTTTAAGTCGTTATGGTCGATACTTGTCAATATACTTTGTAAATTACATTAACAAGTATTCTACACAATTATAAATATTATCTTTTAAGTATATACAGTAGTTACTTAAATTATGGCCAGTTCAGTTAGTAGCACTGGTAATGGTTATAATTTCAAAGTAGTTTTACTTGGTGAAGGATGCGTTGGAAAAACTTCAGTTGCATTGAGATATGTTGAAGGCAAATTTAATGATAAACATATCAGTACATTACAAGTAAGAAATGTTTATTTCTTTCCTGCTTTATGTTTTTATCTTGTTGCGCTTTGTGTCATAATTATAATTTACTTTTGGTATAGTTATAATTTTTATGGAATTATAAAGTACGCTAAATGATTATATTGAAACTTTTACTCTTTAGGCTTCATTTTTAAACAAGAAATTGACTGTTGATGGAAAAAAAGTAAATTTAGCGATATGGGATACAGCTGGTCAAGAAAAATTTCATGCATTAGGACCAATCTATTACAGAATGTCTAATGGTGCCATTTTAGTTTATGATATCACGGATGAAGATACATTTCAAAAGGTAAATAAATAAATTTTTTTAAAGTTGCTTCTTTAGCTCTATATAATTCATATTAATAACTATGTTGTAGGTGAAGAATTGGGTTAAAGAGCTTAAAAAAATGTTAGGCAGTGAAATCTGTTTAGCAATAGCAGGAAATAAAATAGACCTTGAAAAAAATAGAAGCGTTTCTATTCAAGAAGCAGAAGAGTAAGTTTTTTGTATCTTCTATCCTATAAGATTTTTGTGATATCAAATTTTATTATTAGGTATGCTAAACAAGTTGGAGCCATGCATTATCATACTTCTGCTAAATTAAGTCAAAACATTGAAGAAATGTTTGTGGATTTGACACAGCGTATGATACAACATGCAGATGAGGCAGAACAAAAATCTACATTAACAAGAACAAATAGTACACGTCGTAATGTTGTTGTAGTTGAAGATGAGGCTGAAGAAAGACAATATACTAAAAGTTCCTGTTGTGGTGGTTCTTCGCAAGCATCTTAATTTCAGATATTTGTTCCAAAATTGGTTCTAATTTTAAATATGTATATATATATAGTATATACATATTGCCTATTTCACAGGCTGCTATATTTTTTTTAAATTAACTTTTTTTTATAAAATCATGAAATGATTATGTCAGTAATCATGAAACAGCATGAAACAAATTTATTTCAGCTGCATTGGTACAATGTAAAAAATGTACTACAATGTTGTAGTACAGAACCAAATATGTTTTCTATTTTTAAGCTTTATGGTTTAAGTGATCACTATATATTGTTATTTCATATTTATAAAATATTTATATATTATGATTGTTTTCTTTTTTAAATAACATTTTGTTGTATTAAATAAATCAATAATTAATAAGTGTTGAGTGATATTGTAGTACTAAAAAAGATCATAGTATGAAGAACAAACTTTGAACCTTTTGTAACTATGATTGCTGAAAAGTTTCCACAAAATGTGTGAATTGAAAGTTTTATACGCGCGAAAGATTTGATTCAATATTCTTATAACATTTGAAAATTTCCATTAGTGTAATTTCATGTACCAGCATCGATTAACAAGGTAACAATGTACATATTGATATTAGCGATTTTATTGTACAAAGACTATAAAAGAAATGACTGATGAGCTGAATATGTCATTAAATTTTTAATATTTCATTTTCTTTAATAAGAAAAAAAGTACGATAATCTAGGTATAAATACAAAGCCTAAGTAATTTAACTTAGTGCTTAATAAGAAATACTAATTATATTTTGGGAGTTGATTTTTATGTATTTTAATATTTCATTACATTGATAGAGCCTCAGTCGACTCACAAACCAAATATCTTGTTATTCATATATGTCATATAGCTAGAAGATTTATTACAATTAACAGATGTATGTATTTGTCATATAAACGTATGTATATTCAAATACTATTGCGTTTTAATAAAAAGTTAATTAACATATACACATATTTAATATAATGTTATTCTTGAAAATGCTTTGTTTTATAGTTCACAATTTAGATTAGTTTATAATTAGTTACAACTTAAAAGATTTACTAATTACATGCATAAGGATTTACAAGACTAAAATATAATCTCTATTCTATCACAGGTACGTATATGGATTATAAACATCCACGCATCTATTTATGACAACATAAATATGTTTCATCAAATAATTCGCTATTCTATAACATTATTTTAATCATAGCAAGACCGTAAAATTACGAATGAACTGTCGACAATTAATCGGAAATAAAAAATTTTAAATATCAAAAAGAATGATTGAAAAACTCAGTATAGTGTAACGTACATATTATGACACATTAATTATTCTAGTTTTTGTATAAATAATTATTCTTTATTACAGTATTTTAACTATATCAATAATAACAAGGAATGTAATTGGGTTGTATCAGTTCTATATAGGTCTGGGTTAGTCTTGTTTTAGAACAAATGATGTATTAGGCAATTAGCCTCTATTTTATCCCAGAAACCCATAATGGCAGGACTATTTAAAAGAATGTAGAGATACATGTGATGGTGGAAAGATAAGTATAAGTCTTTCATCATTGAAGTAAGACCAGATATTATATACTAAATATTACATTACACGATACCCTGGCTGATTTTAGTCTAATTATTAAATTATCATAGTAATACATAACAGTGTTAATCATCTTCATTATTATCTTAAATTAAAAGATTTCATTCTCTTCCTTTTCTGTGTGAATTTGTTATTTTGTAGCTTGTCATTACACTGACAATCGTAGACAAGACATTACACAAACATGCTAACCATACAGAGATTTTTACTATGACATTTTTATGAAAGCAAAAAATTTTATTGTAATTTAAATTTAATTTTGTAGTGTACTGTAATATAGTTTAAAAAATTTGTTAAGATTTTTCACATTTATATAGTTAAAAGAACAGTTTCATTTAATAAGGCTAAAATTGTATACATAAATGTTAATTTTTCGTATGTATATACACAACTTCGATACAAAGGATGCCATGTACTATTAATAATTACTAATTCATTACCGTACATCGCTTTGGCTATACTAATCAACTATAACAAGATGTAATTATTATGACTTTTATGAATCTTGTCATGTTCATTTTCTCTTTAAGTTAAAATTATGCGAGCAAGGCATCCTGTACATCATACTCCTACTAGTATAATTTATTATTTAATATTATTCCTAAAGTAATCCTACGTTTTATAATCATTTTGTATGATATTTTCACATTTTCATATCTTTGGTATACCATTAATTTTCACGTAACTTTATACATCTTTAAACTGTAAAGTATCCAGAGTTGTTTTAATTTTCTAGTATTTCCGTTTTGAAATTATTGTATCAATTTACTAAAAAGATCTTGTGCAAGCTGTATAACTAAGCGCTATTTGTGATATTATTAGGTATGCAAGTATTTGTCTATTTGTATATTTGAATATAAAAATATTTTAATCAACAAAGTACGGATGTTATAATTAAATATTAATATTACACACGAATTGTTACGTTCGTTTTAAGTTCCAACAAGTTTGATATGACTTCGAAGATGTGGAATTAATAAATGAGATTATCATTGTTATGCATCAAGATGAAAGTTCCGAGTAAAACAGACAAATGAGGTTTTCTCAGTTTTGTACACTAAGATGAAAGTCGCAAGAAACTTGTCGAACTTGTTATTAAAAATCCTATAAATCCTTCTTCGAAGTTATTTCCTGTAAATTTATACAATATCAAACTTGGCAGCCAAATTTATAGGACTTCTGTTCTAAAACGTATATGCAAAGTACTAATTTTGCTTTAAATTAGGCCTTCAATATTCGGTCTACGCTTTTCTCTTTAAATAATAAATATTTTATCTTGATGAGTAAATAAAAAATCTATGAATTGATTAATGGGACCTATCGCGGAAAGTGACATTCCACGTGATGGCGGAGCTCTGACAAGATTTGGACCAAATACAACAGCGAGATTACTTGATGTCATTTTGTTTAAGTCACATCTATCCATTACCTAGTAATGGAAATAACGTATTATATTGTAAGACAAGAATTTTTATTTCAAGTAAAAAGATAATATGATAATGAAGATAATAATAGCTTACCCTAGATAAAAATTGTACAATATATTTTAGGAGTTGGTAATTGTCTTCTGGAAGTTTTTCAAGTACTAATATTTTTACTTTTCTTGGACGTTCATCTTTTGATAGAGCTAAAATATTTTTGCATTCGTGAATTATAATTATTATATATAAACAAGTTATAAATTTAACGTATAATATGTACCTTGAAACTGTGTTATTTCATCATATAGTTCGTATGTCATAAGAGGTTCGTCTAATTCTCGAAGAAACGTTTTAAGAAGAACAGCCGCTATATGTGGATCTCCTTGGAAATCAACAGGTAACCCTTGATTACAACGACACTGAAGTTCTTTAATTACTGCTACATTAGCTGATCTTCTAAATATTCCTTCTGTTTCTAATGCTTTAAGCAATATTAAATTTATTGATTGTTTCTATAATGATATATATAATTCATATAACTATAAGATAGTTGAACATACCATCAGGTGTATCAAGAAATTCTACACATTGCCGCACTATTGGTGGTATAGGATCACCATTATTATTTTCTTTAATAAAGAGGAGACTTGCTCCAAATTGAGTGGTACCAACTGGTGTTGTTACCGTACTCTGAGGTGGACTTGTTGGTAAATTCTTTTTGTTTTTTAACATTAGCTGTTCATTGTGTCTAAAAATAAATGCAATCAATTAATGACAAATCAAGTAGTACATTATAATTAATGTAAAAACTTTACAACTATGAAAAAAATGCTTACTCTATTACTTGAGGAGGTATAATAAGCTGATCAAGGTTAATATATTGTGCTAATTCCTCTAAATAATTGACATACATCATCTTCCGACCAAACTTTGCACTGAATGAAAATAAGATAAAATTTAATATATTGGTACAAGGTGAGCATTCATTCATCAAAATAGGAGGAAATAAATTACCTAATGGCTGGCTTAAATATTTGCCATACGAATCTAATGAAGTTGGTTGGGTGTACTAAATACAAAGCTTTTAAATTCTTCTTATACTTTCTGTCAAATGCTTTATATGCTTGCCATAACCAAGATAATGGTGGTTTGTTTTTTGAAGTAAGACCATAGTGAAAGTAAATTAAACTATAATCTTGTTCTACAAATGTGTCTAACGTATGTGTGAGATACCTATTAAAAAAATTAACATTATAAAATATATTATGAAAATACTAAAATAGAGTATTTTTATTGCATTTATTTACATAAACAGACCTTAAGAGTTTAGCATGATTAAATGTTTCTTTTCCTACAGGAGGTAATTTACACGCAGATACTACTATTATTTTACGACCAGCACTATCATCACCAACCACTTCTACAATGCCATGTCTTGCAATATCAAGATAATCTTCTTCATCTGCAAGTTCACCATCCAGTGCAGCAAGGTCCTCTGCTACTCAATGCAAAAGATCGTTTTCGTCATAATTTCATGTAAAACGTTCTCTCCAATTTTCTTTCAAATTTCTTATAATATATACATTTAAAGTAATTCAATAAAAACAAATTAAAAATCACATAACCCTCACTTCTGTGCGCTGTTATACCATGCAATAATAAACTGTACAATGATCTACATAATTCACCTGCTAAGCCCCAAATGCCATGACATTTAGTGGCTACTAACAGAAGATAAAAGGTCACACACCAGATTCGATAACTGGAGCATCTACTAAAGCTTCTTCAAAGTTCTCTTCAATTGTCCCATCGCTTACTGGACTCTCCAAATAATCTATGCCAGTACCTGCACGACTGCTAATCAAATCCAACTTTTCTTCTAAAAGCTGTACAGCTACAAAATGATTATTTCAATTACAATCTATAATTATGGAAAACTATAGAGGTTTAAATTTAACCCTTGAACAGCAAATGCAAGATCAATTGATTCAGACCTACAAAAATTATATAAGGATATTTTAACTAAAATCAGCTATTCAAATTGATAAACTAAAAGTAATAATTTAGAATATAAAATAAAATTGAGGAGGTCTGAAATTTATTTGAAATTATCACATGTTTTAGTGATCCATTAATCCAGGGGTTAATATGAGGATTTTTTAATACAATAATAGTAATAGTTTTCATAGATTGAACTCCAATGATCAAAATAATTGTATTATAAAGTAAAACTATATTGAAATGTTTACAAAGTTACTTTTGTATGAACTCTATCTTACCATTATTCGAAGTGGTTTGTAACTCGGTATCATCGAACTCCAAGTTGGGCTCATAATCATGATAATCTGACAAACTTGGGTATGGGTCTTCGACGTCATTAGCTATTGCTATCATACAAACAGAAGTATGCGCATTATTTTTCTGTACCAAATATGTATCAATGAATCACAGAACACTACACTGACCATAGGAATACTTTATTTGATCAATGATTTAGCTTTCAATAAACAGTTAATTAAAAGTAACTGAATAAAAGTTGAAAAACAAGTTAGCAAAAGAAATGTCATAATAAACTGATGACTCGAATGCATCTCGCGGTTTCTTGTTATACATCGTTTTTTCCGATCACATTACACGGTATATTATTTCAAATAAATATTTCGTAGCATTTCAACCGTATTTACAAACCACTATAAGCAATCTTAAAACTCGAAATAGCAGATTTTTCTACCGTTATTGGTATGCATTTTAGCTAAGTAGAATAACTATATCAAGTTAAGATCAGAACTTGAATATTATAATACGCACTATCGTGTCAATACGCGAATTATTCGTCACTTATCGATGTGCTTTTCCACATAGCAGACTGAGATCCATCGTGAAATGTTTTCTCGCTAGAACGAACAAAAAAAAAAAACGTCCATGCCAGGTGAAGTTTTACAATCACGCTTTTCAACGATATTATATTTGACGTGACGTTTATTTGACACCTAAGGTAGCGTCAACAATCGCGGAACAAGGCTCACCTGTCAAAGTTCGTGTCGGGCTTAGCGTCGGTTGATAGTCTGCTTCCATTTTCTGGCAACTGCGCGATAAAACAGTGCCGGGATTCAGTTACGGGCTTTTTATGCACCCTGCTTTACAATCGGACAACGTTTTTCTTCTCGAACGACATTATCCTGACGCGGTATGGCAAAGCAGCCTATTCACGTCACGCTTTCATTTGTTGTGTCGCTAATTGTAATTCGTAGTCGCTCGTCACTCCCTTTCCCCACTGCTCGATTAACGAATATCTTCAGGCTTATTCCCATTGGTCAATTGCTTACTTCTCGATACAAACGATGCGCGCTAAAGATATGAAGATCACGTGATACATTTAAGTGTTAATCTACTGTTTACTTATATGTTTTATAAATAAATAAATGCCTATTTATAAATCATTTGGATATGAAACAGGTAAATTTACTTCTTAGTCAAATAATCTTTAACTATTTTTAAAATATATTAAACTGTAATGCGTATATGTTTACATATGATTGTTTTAATTTCTACAGCCTTTATCAATGATACTTTTATCGGTAGATTAGCGAAACAAATTTTAAAAATTATAAATTCATAAATTTGATAACATTTCATAAGATCTACAAATATAATTAAATTAAATAACGATATATAACTATTGATTATGTTATTAATTCTTGCGGTTTATAAAAGATTAGCTTTATTTGCAATAAAGTTATACAGATTTATAAGGATTTCTACAAAATATTAAACTGAACACATGTTTTTAGTTTATCGTTTTACAATTTGTTTTCAATTACATATGTTGTACAATTCCACTGTTTAGGCACACATGATTATAAAAATCATTACAGAACTTTCTCAAATGGAACTTTTTTATCTCCAAAAGAAGTTTAAAAAAAGACTAGCATTAAAAACATTAAATATAATTGTTTAAAAGTTTTACAACCATTTATTGATATTAAATTTGCTAATTCTTTGAACTGTTAGTCTATTAAATAATTGCATAAAGACTAAGTGACACTAATTAGCTAGTCTAATATTTAATAAATCTTAATTTCAAAGGAAATAGTTATTTTCTATGTTTTTGTTTAATTGTATCTTTAATTATTTCATATTTTAAGCGTTTAAAATGTTTTCTTGACATATATATTGCTATATTATATAATACATACACAATGGTGTTGTAATATTCAATAATACACAAAAATATTTTTGTATGATAGGTCAATAATTTAAATAAAGCATAAAAATAATTTATTAACATTCATTTGTGTTCTTATTTAAATGGCAATGATGATCAAAATATTATATTTCCTACTTACGTTTTATAATTACATATATGTGAAGATTTACAGAGAAATATGTTAGGTGTTTATTCATATTGTGATCGTTACTGTATTTTTACATTTAATTAATTGTTCACATATTTAACATTTAGGGCTAAAAAATTGGCAGCTTGTTTCGATGTACATAACTGATATTGTAAAATATTATGTATTGAACATGTAGCGAGGGAAGGCTAATTTCAAATTTTCTAATTGCAAATATAATACTTGTTTTCTAATTTTCCTTGTATTTCATATAAAATTTTACATTGTTATGACTTATTAAAACGTTATAATTTTTCATACAATTTGTTTACCAGTCTCTTTGTAAACATAAAAATAGATTTATACATCTTATTTAATCAGCGAATATACATGTCATGTGTACCTATCCTAACATCATTTATGATTGTAATGCATGGACATTGCAATTCATATCATTGTGATGAAAAAGATATTTGCTATATTATTTCTTGCGTCATAATCTATTAAATTTACAAAATACAACATTTTATGCTTGTATGTATTACAGTTTGATTGATTTATATGTAAAGGCAGAATGTTCTTTGTGATAACTTATTTCATAACTGTGGTTAACATTTGCAGTGACAAAATATATATGTATTCATAAATTTCCTTTCAAATCCATATGTCACATTGTATTTCTGTACAGAATGCACAATATATGTGCAAAAATCTATATAATTATATAAATATTATCAATTATGATATTATTCATGATTTAACTTATCTTAAACATTAAGCATTGAGGACTGAGGTAATTTATATTACAATTCCATGTGACTGAATTATTTAAAAAAATCATGATATATAATACATCAACATATTATACTGTAAATAAATGGATATTAAAATTATATGTATATCTTTAAATAAACATAATTTATAAAAGTCACAGATGTAAAATTAAAACAATTGATTTTGTGTATAAAAACTCAGGAAGTAAAAGATTTCTATAATTTAATTCATGATGTAGTGTGTTGTAAAAATTATACGAAATTTAAAGATTTGATTTTTGTAAGATCTGTTTCTTATTTACAGTATAGTTAATTTAATGGTATATTAAAATTCAATTCATTAATGAAAAATGTAGAATGGGGCATATGTACAAGGATGTGGTTTCCTATTAAACCGAATACTTAGGACCACATTTTTTTATTGGTGTTAATCTGAGGCCTTTAGCCAACATTTGAGCTTCAAGGTCACGATCTTCATCTTGATACCTAAAAGAAAAGTATGTTTCCATTAACTGCTAAATGTTATAGCTAAGATATGAATATTATAACTTCTGTACCTTGTGCGGACAAAACACCATAGCAATTAATATGCAGATTAATTAATATCACAAATGTATATGAGTGTTTACTAAATATTTATTAAAAAACGAATTGAAAAATGTGCTATATACTGCTATTTTTTGTAAAAAATTTGAATAAGTAATGGTTTTTATATTTTTGAACAATGTGTTTACATAAATTTTCGTTCCTACAATCTTCTGTGGTAAAGATATGTGTTTAGGAAATAATTGCCATAAACACATAAAAAAGAGGTGCTACTTTATTTTTTCCAAAGTAATCGCTAAAGGATAGTTTAAAATTGAACAATGGTTATGTTACTATAATTCTAATTATATTATATTTTTAATTTTGTACATGATTAAAGATAATTTTAAGTACAACAAAAATATTTTCATTCTTACAACAGTGCTACAATATAGCTATGTATATAATACATCATTTTATCACAATGCAAAAAATGCTTTGAATGTAACAAAAAAGATTGTGTATACACAAATAACATGCACAATTAGATTGCGACAAAAATTTTAAAAATGTAAAATGATTGTAAAATATAATTTTCATATGACATGCTTTCATGTAGCATGCACTATTATTTTGGTAGCTGTAACAAGATAAATTTGCTACCATAACAAAAAAATAGCCAACAAAATTTACTGAACTGTAATAAAAAAATTTTAAATTGGATTCGTTGATATGTGTGTATAATCATATTTAAAATAATTAAATAACAATGCTATAAAAATTAAGCGCTTCTTTAATATTGCCTATGAAATAATTATGAAAATAAAAAAAATATCACGATTTGAAAAGTGTTAGATGCTCTTTGTAAAAGTTAACAAATAACTCAATTAAGTTAGTAAAAAACACATACGCGATTAAAATGACTGTCAGGGTGAACACAAAAGATGAGTTGTTCAAATTATGAGAAAAAAAATTAGGTACGTGCGAGGAGCAGGCAACTGTATATGTAGGAAAAGAAGTTAATGTTTGGCATGTAGATTTACACCACCTTTGTCGCTCTTCTTCTAAAAGGGCAATGAGTGAATCTCGCTTCGCGACTATTTCCAACATTTCTGTTAAAATTTCTCCTTCCTTTTTCACGTCATCACTAGTTTTCTTGTTATCTGTGAAAGTAAAAATGTACGGAAGTATGTAAGAAATATACTCATGATCATACTAATAAAATGTTGAACTAAAGTAGTAAAATATTAACCATCATCAGCCAAGCGTTCTCGCAATTCCTGCTGCAATCTCTCATGGCGATCTTCAAGCTGGACTTCTTGAGCTCTTACTAGAAGTTCTTTTTCATACCTACGCAGTTCTGTGCGTTCTTTCATAAGATCAAACCATTCTCTAAGCAAATCTGCTTCTTCTCGATCGGAGCATTCTGAATATTAAGGACATGATTTACTCTTAAATCTTTCTCAAATACTTTGATAATCATAACGTTCATTCTTACCGCCTTCTCCACGAAGAGCCTTTTCAACGCTAACACCTCTGCTCTCTAATTCTCTCTGTTTAACTTCCGTTTCTTCTAATTTTCTTTGTATTTCTTGGGCCATACGCAATCTTTAAAATATTTGTAAATATTGTTACATTAGTCTAAGATCATTTGTATATTCTGAAATACTGATTTACTAAATATTTTGGTTATTATACCTTTTTAACTGTGCTTGCCTAGCTATTCGTTTTGTGGTTTTTGTTTTACGAGAAATACTGTTACATGAACCCTCGGTTACTGTAGCTTTATGAATGCATGATGTTGACACTGCCGTTGTTTTCGTATCATCTTCTGATAAGCTATCATCTGTTAAATAAACATTAAATATATGAAGTAAATATTTCTTGTTTACAAAAGATATTATATCTTATTCATACCTGATACATGCGTAGTAGGAATAGTATAATTAAGGGGTGGTGGTGGAATTGGAGGCGGATTTTCATTCAGGAAGTTTCTTGTGAGCATACCCTCGCAGACACTTTTTGGTCTTGTATTAGTCTTTGGTGATACAATTTTATCAAGCTGAAAAAGAAAAGATTTAATGTACCGCTGATTATATGTACTATTTGTTAAGAACATGAACAAAATTGCTTTAATTCTGAAATTAACACAACATTTTAATATTGAAAACAAAAACTGCAATAAAAGATATTGTGAAAGCTCACATAAAGTTAATTCATTAATACACACATACACTTCAATACTATATACTTCTAACAAAAAGAGTGACACCCTAAGCATTTTTCTAATTACTTTTCTAAAACTAGAGTAATGAAATGAATTTGTATATTAGAAAGAGATTTAGAAAGAAAATTAAAATAGCAACCTTCAAATAACTTCTAGTACTATTAAAATGTTTTCTTGGTATTTACATTGTAAACAGAATAAAGATTTAGTTAAAGCACACTACAAAAAATGAACATACTGAAATGGCAATTATATGTAACAGAATTTAACATGCTTATTTTTAACACACTAATATAGCAAGGATTTAAAACAATTCTGCATTGTAAAGAAAGTAGCTTATGCCAATCAATATGTTACCCCTTTAAAGCAGACGAGAAAATGCAGCAAACGAAAATAAAATTATAGTACCTGCACAATATACAATAACGAATACAAATAGTGGCATAAGAAAGCTAATACTGGAAAAATTAGTATCAATGACTTATGAGTTGCTTACATCTGACCCTTCCGAATACGATTTATACAACTGAAACATTTTAGAATCCAATTAGTTTAGAGATAACCACGAATACGTCTACTCTGTACAACAGAAGAAATGTCAAGATTAACAAGAAGAAAAAAGAAGATATACATACTTTGCCTTTCGATTTCGATGTCAGACGGAACATAGATAATTTATCTTTCTGATTGGACGGTGAAGGAGAAGATTCCTTCTTAAAGAAGAAGTCCGAAACTGCTTGAATAATGCTTTTCCTTCTTTCTGGATCCTTTGTTTTTTGTTTCTTCTCTCTTTTCACAACAGTGACAGCGTTAGCAGATTTTGGAGAACTATTGGTATGTAGAAGTTCATCCATCGACTTGGTATTGGCAGCAGAAAGGCCACTAAAGTTTATTGCTTCTGCTACAGCCTTCATGTTGTCTGTACTTTTGCTTGTTTGCAATTTTAATCCAGTCTTATTTTCTCCAGAGCTGTAAAGTCTTATACGGGGTTCAGGGTCCTCTTTATTTTTTCTGTCTTCCATCGATAGCTGCCTTCGAGCCACTTTCATCCTCAATTCTTTGATCCTATCTTCTGGACTGAGACCCAGGTCCTCGTCACTTTTTAATCTGGCTCTTTCCCTAGCATCCTGCCTAGCCTTTTCTGCTGTCCTCTTCACTTCATCATGCTTCAATCTTGGTGGAGCAACTGGTGTTTTAAAATTGCTTTCTACTTCATTATGTGTCTCATTCAGATTTTCAACAGATTGAATTTCATTTTTGTTTTCATCATTTGCCTCCTTTTCCTTTCCCGATTTCCAAGGGACCTCTCTTGGTGCCTCAGTTTCCAGACTCTTCTTGGCCTCTGCAAAAGTGGTTCGCAGTGGACTGTTCTCAGGCGTTGCTATGGACGTAGGTGTAAATTTGTTAATTGGTGAGGCACTAGAAACAGGTGGTCTTATTGGAGATAAAACAGGCGTAGAGGTAAAGGAAGATGCTCTAGCGGCTCTTCTTGCTTTCTTCTCTGCGGATTTCTGTTTGTGAGCTTCCACTTTGTCCATCAACAAGTCTTGTATAACGTTCTTCTGTTTAGACCTTTCTCTCGTTATTTCTTCCAATTTCCTTGAGGTAGCTGGAGAATTAAAGCTGTTGTTTATGACGGCATCCTGACTCTTGATCTCTTCCGCTATCATTTCGGCAGTGCGCGTTTGTATAGAACTCTTTGAATTCTTTCTTTTTGATTTCCTGACGTCGATGGAGTCTTTGGCATTACTAAATTCGGCAATTCTAGACTGCAACCGTTTAACGTACTCCGAATAATCCGCATTGCTTGAATCAGCCGTCGCTTTTGGTTCTTCTTCCTGACTCGCCTCCTGAGTTTGAGGTGGAACTATGGAAACCTGTGGATTCACGGGACTAGCGAGAATTGTGATCACTTCGCTCGTAGTGGTATCTTCTGCTGGTTCAACGATCAGCAAACTATCCTCCTCCATTGACTGGAACAGTTCCTTGTTCACAGCTTCCACGATAGGCTGATCTTGTTGAGCAGAATCCAATTTTGTATCTGCCTTCTCCTCAATTTCATTCTCTGTTTTAGTTAGTGTACCATTTAATTTGTTCATAACATCATCCATAGTAACAGGATTTATTTCTATCACGTTTCTGTCATTATAAGCTTCTTCTTCTGAACACGAATCGTTCTCTACTTCTAATTTTGCTATCGGAGCATCAGCGATCAATTTCTCCTGCGAACTCGAGGACGTTGGGTCGCTCTTGATATTCACGAACTCTACGTACCCTCTGTTTTTAAGCATAACCATGTTGGAAGCGTCTTGCAGACTGTCATCTAATAACGAATCGTTGTCCGTGTCCATAAAATCAATATCCTCACCGTTAGCTAGAAGCTTCGAGGTGTCATTAATCGGAATGTCCAGCTGGTTGTACTTCGAAGTATCTAGCTCCATGTCTGTCAAATCTTCCTCTTTGGCTATGGTGATAAGTGCGTTCCTTGTCCTCGAATTGTCTGATAATGGAAGGTTTCTTCTCGTAGTTATGAATTCTGGATTAATGTTGAACTCAACGTCTCGCAGGTCGTCCGAGACAAGCACCTCTCCATCGCGAGCCCACTCCGAGAATTCGGTTTCAGTAAGAGCAGCCGTGGTCACATCGTTTTCTTCAGAATCATCCTGCTTATTCGATATGGTAGAAGCCACGGACGTTGGAGTGCTGCAGTTACTGATATTCTTTTTGTTGTCGTCCTGCAATTCCAACTGCTCTATCTCGTTCTTCACTATTTCCAGTTCCATGGATGTTTTGTTCACACCGCTCTCTGGCTTGGTAGGTGTAGGTTCCGTTTTATTATTTGTTTCTTTGTCTCGCAAAAATGAACACTCTATGGAATCTGGCTCGAATGACTGACCATCATCAAAGTCCTTATACCTATCAACTTGTTCGTCCAATAGCAGATCTCCATCCGTGCTGTGAATCTGTAATCGTGGCGGAGACAAATTCACGGCAACCAACTGTTCATTCTGCGCACCTTCAGCTTCACCGTCGCTGGAAGACAAGGAATCGCTATCTATCTCTGAGTCTTCGGTGCTAATCGCTTCTTTCGCTTCCTCCTTGTTTTTGCTCCAATCAACTTGAGGTACGATGATGGAGGTCTCGTGCAAAGGACTTCGTGGTCGGAACCCGTTATTTTCATCATTCGCAGTGAAGTTGATGTCTGTATTTTGAGAATTCTTCGCGTTCTCCAATGCTTGTGAATTGTTGACCACCGTGGTCGTTTGACTAGAAGATACTTGTTCTTTTGTTAGTTCCTTGTTTGCCGTGCTTTTCGATTCACCGCAGACAATGTTAGGGGCAGTCTTCGATTTCAGAATGCTCGATTCTTTGACTAAATCTGGCAAATGGGTTTTCGATATTTCAGGCAAAATCGTGGCTTTGTACATTGGGTTATCGTTATTCAGTAAATTCTGGGAACGATTGCCGGTATAGGATCGTATAGGAGAAGCAGTGAATATAGCTGTGGGTGATATGGGGGATAGTTGAGCGTTGTTCGATCGCAGTTTACTCGTTCCTTGTAAAAATGCTTGCATCGTAGGGCTTGGTTCTGGTGCAGGGTTCAGGAGTTTTTGATGTTGAGAAATAGCGTCTGTCAGGTTTCTCAGTTGAGTGTCCACGTTTGAGGCTGAGCCTGATTTCATAACAGAGCCACCAAAAGCTGTGCCACCAAACAAATACTTCTTCTTCAATTCTAAAGATAACTTGGACGCGATACCTTCCGTTGAATGAGTGCGATTCAATAGATAATCTCCTTTACGTGGATTTATTAAAGGAACTCTATTTGTATTGTTGGTTTCCTGTTGATTCATATTACTTTCTTTCTCTGGATGAGAAGGGTTTCTATTATCCGCTTTTAATTGCGTCTTCTCATCAGAATCCTTGTCCTGCTTCAGGTTACCATTGACCGATGATATTACTTTGCTCTTGACTTGAACCTTTTTGGGCTCTACGTAATTTCCTCTAGTTTTTCGAACGTAGGAATCGTTGATCGTGATTTCTGGGATCTCGTGCTGCGTTGGAGTTGCACCATCGTGTTCGAATTCAGAATCAGTTGATATTTCTGTAGCTGAGTTCTCCTCACTCTCCTCCGATGTACCTTCGTTTGAAGCAACCTGTGGAGACATACATAGATTACTAAGTGAACAGAAATACCAAAGACGTAGAATGTTATAAGAAAAAGAAAAGAAAATCGTGTTTAGTGTATTAGTGAAATAATTAGTGGCAAGGAACATAATGCACATGATTGAATTTCTTGAATAAAAATTTATAAACCACTTATGACAATAGAAATCTGATATAGAAAATTGTTATTATGATCAATTTTAAATAGTATTATGTGTGTACGAATTTAAAGATGTATAATGTTTCTCATTTATTAGTCATTGCTAATTGTTCACTTCTTACTGTGAAACTGATCATGATTGGCAACTGTTTGAATGCATCTAAAATGAGCGAGTGAGATTTTTAATAAAGTATTGGCTGGTGGTAATTTCGAAATTAATACGAATTGGTAAGTTATGCTGCCAGTTTTAGCATGAACACTAAACCAAACACAAACAATTAATTGGTTTGAGTCACTGTTAATCTAGAATTAGTTCAATAGATCACTCCATTCGTACATAAAAATGCTTTACCTTTTCTTCAGTAGTCTTGGGTACTTTAAAAAGATATACCACCATCAGCCAACTCTAAGTAATATTTTTTGATTTCATTTTTTTTACTTTATTAACATATCTCACACAATTTCCCTAAATGTAAATCATAAAATTGAAAAACACATATTTAAATAAATATAATTTATCATGTTCAAAAGCGTGTTCAGTGTGTGTAATGCACTTCCTTATATGTATATTGTACAAATTAAAAAATAATTTGCATGTTAAGATATTATACATTTATCTTTCTTGGTTTTTTCATTCTTAGAAACTATGGTGGTTGTAGATTCACGCTGGTCAGATTTTGTTAATGGATGAGACTTTGTAGGGTGAGGATGTTTTTGTTCGACAGAAGTATTTTGTAACGTATTAGGTATTTTACTTATTTCACTGTCATTGTTCGTTATTTTAACTAGATGTTTTGAATCATTAGTCCCTGTGCTTGTAATGCTTTTGTGTTTATCACTAACAGTGTCCTGTGCAATCAATCTTTCATTGCTTGTAATGGAATTTGACTGCATATTAGGAGATTCTAAAGGCGCAACAATAGATTTTCGTTTTGTACACTTTGTCCTTGCAGGAACTTCAGGAACAAATTGTGTACTGAAAATATTGGATTGCAACGAAGAACTTAAATTCTGTTGTCCATGTTTTCTTTCTGGTCTTTTTGGAGCTTCTTTCAATGCATCTAATGTAACTAAACTATTGCTTATTTGTTTTGGAACTTCAATGTTTCTTTCAACAACATTAACTTTCCTGATCTCTTCGTATCCGCCTGGAAATCTTGTTAATTCAGAAGAAGATCTGGAATTTTTACGTAGTACATCAGTTCCATGAGTAACTCCTTTCCTTACATTTAAGGTGCTATCACTTGCGTGCAAAGCATTGCTTGTATTGTCTGTTATTTTAATTTTGTTGAGCTGTGGCATTAGCAATGTGGGGGTTACATCACTTTCAATATTTTCACACGAACAAGTCATAACGTTACCTTTTTGTTCATGTAAGTTAATTTCCAAATTACTATGTTTGGGTTGCGGGGCCAATAATATTTCTTTTGTATTAAGTGTATTTTTAGGAGAATAAATTGTGATGTCTGTTTTCAGCTCATGTAATTTGGTTTCTGAACGATTGCTGTTGATTTGTGAACTTAATGTTGTTTGTTGTATATTATTTTCATTTTCATCGTGTAACTGATTTTTCAAAGTGTTCTGTAACTGTTCGGTAACTGATTCACCATTGTGTTGTGGAATTATCACTGCTTGCTCTGTATTTGTCTTTTCAAGAGAATTAACTATGACTGCATTGTCTGTTTTATCTTCAATCGAATTTTCGTTACTTAAATTCGAATTTTCTTCGACCACATGATTTTCTTTGTTTTCATTTCCTAAATGCAGCCTCAGTGATGGAGTGTTAAAATGCAATTTGGATTCAATGTCTTCAGCATCAACTGAAAATATTTTCTCATTTAGTAGCTCTATTTGCTCAAATTGCTTATCAATACCATCAATATCACTTATGCTAATTTCGTCAATATTTGCATGTACACTGTCTTCATTTTTCAATTTTCTATCGTCTGTAGGAGTTTTCAATTTTTTAGCAGGTTCACGTATTGTTTTATTAAAATATTTCATTATATCTTTCGTTTCAACTTTAGCAGATACTTTTGGTTTAATGTCTAATTCAACAACTTTAACATCTGGAGGTTTTTTACTTTGTGCAACTACATTAGGTTTTTCTGTTTTCTGTTTTTTCTCTTCCATGAAATACTTATTCATCTTTTGTCGAGCATTTTCCGTGGACAGCGGTCGAAGTTCACCAACTGGAATTTTATTTCTTGCTTTTCGTTGCCTTAAGTCGCGTTTTAATTTGTCAAACGAACTATTCTCATCAGATTGAACTGGTTGAATTCGCACTTCTTTGGGTACCGTTAATTTGCTAACTTCGACTGACGTTTCATCCAACGATTTTTCAACTGTTGGAGACGGCGAAGTAACAGTCACGATTGGAATTTGTTCAACGTCTTTTATCAACAGCTTGAATTTATTCTCCTTGTTTAAATTATCACTTTCTGATGTTTCAGACTTTTTTACATGATCTGATTCACCCGTTTCCGATCCTTCTGTACTTATCTTATCCTGAAGCTGGGACAATAATAATTCATCGTATAATGTCTCGGTTGATTTGTAAATTTCAGATGAAGAAGATGGTGATGATTCCCTACTCCGTTTTGGAGAAGAAGTTACTAGATCCGGTAGTTTCTCCATGAATTTTGTACTTTCTTCGGTGTTAGGCTGCATTGTATTATTGCAATTAATCTGTCTAAATGGAATAGCATCTGGAAGCATAACTCCTGCAAACACTGTTTGCAGTTCAGTATTTAATTTAACATCTGATTCTGGAGATGCAATACCTAGGTCAGGAGTTACTTTATCATTTACTTCAATATTATTAGGAATTATTTCTTTGGTTAGTTTGTCATCGACAACATTTGGAACTGGATTTGGCAATTCGTTTAAGATTTCTTGGGTTTTACCTAAATCAGAAAGGACAGTCTCCTTTGCTATGCTTTCATGCTCTGAAATACATTTATCTGCATTATTACTTTGAACACTTGAAAGGTTTGAGCAAACTAAGGAAGAATCTGAATTGATTATGTTATTTTCCATGTTATTTGAAATCACACGGAAAGAGGGGTCATCAATTATAGGAACTATGCTTCCACATGCCTGTTGATCTGTGCTACTTATTGATACATCAGTTGACAATGTTTCTGTATTTGACACGTTTTCAACATCCTTAGTGTTGCTGTTTTCTTTATCAATTACGGTTTCACTGTTATTCATATTTGTCACTTGGGGCAACATTAAATTAGAAGTTTGCACAGGAAGTACGAGTGACTCTTGAGTTACATTATCTACAGAATCTTGAGAAATTTTCACCTCCGTTTCCGAACCGGTGTCCGTGTCAGAACTGCGCGTAGGATTCTTCAGCCAGACTTCTTGCTTTCTCAACTCCCGAGCACGTATGTCGTCTTCGTCTTCTGTGGCAGTTGTACTTTCATCGTCTAAACATACATTTTAAAAACCACACGTTACTACAGAAACTACAATCATAAACAAAATGGTGGACAAATATTAATTACACAAAAAATAAAAGTCTTTCGTCTTTTTTCCTTTTATTTATTCTAATTTTTACATTGAAGGTGTTAACCTTTCATTGTTCCGACGATTTAGTCCTTGATGGGGGGGGCTCTCAGCAGGGATAATAATTTAACACTTCATCTGTTTAGAGAAATTCATGAGGTTTTTATCAATTGAATTTTAAAAAATTTAAAAAAATTTTTAGTAGATGATAAATATATATTACCTGAAGTGTTGTACTATTTTATATTGATTAAATAATGACATCTATTACATGATATTCATTATTCATGAGATGAGTCAAGAATGGCTCCTAATATTTTACTGATTTTGAGGTTTTAATTAGATGAAAATCTGAGAGTTTGTTTTTGTATTTTGGAAGTTGAAATATTGTAAGTGGAGTGATTGCATGGGAATGAATTGTTATGTGCATTTACTTTCATTATTTTAAAATGTATGATATATGTGTTCAAACTGTTTATACTCATTTTGTAATTTAGTGAATCTGAGATTTCTCAATTTGTTGTATATTCATAAATTCTATATTTTATATATCTTCTTATCTGTCCTACATATATATGGGTACTCATAGCAATTAATTTGGTATACTTCAAATAACATCTCCAACTGAGAAGACTTAATAAACTTATATTTGTCATACCTTCATTAGTATATTCATCACTAGAATCTTCATACTCGTTGCTCCCAGTATCAGACTGTCCCATCGTAGCATGTGGATGAGAATATCGTAGCGTCCAATTTTTAGCAAGTTCAAGAGTACCTTCAGTCGTCAATGGTTGATCTATTGCTTCTTCAAACACTTCATTGTCTTCATCCGAATCACTGTTGAAATAATATAAATAAATATTAAAATACTACTGCAATTTTTATTAATAAGTTAACGATAACTTACCTCATGTCTGAGATATCATCACTGGAACCCATTTCTGCCGTGGAAGCACCGAAATTTCTATCCGTCCATTCATCTTCATCCATCTGACTCTGTGGTTCTTCAGCATCTGATATTTCTGCTAGGTTTTCGAATTCTATTCTTTCCGGTGTTTGACCGCGATCGAGCAAGTCCAGACCGACTACACCTTCCAGAGGTTTCGTCTGAAAATAATTTTGTTAACGTTTATATTATAAGTATATCTACATTTTTATAATATTTTTATTATGGCCGTTTATACTGATTTAAAAAAATTGTCATACCTTTTCGGATGTTTTTATATTTACAGGTGAATTAGGTATGTTTTCTTTGTTCACTGATGCAATTCTCTTCTTCTCAGCGCGAGCTTTCAACGTTCCTGAGAAACCAAAGTGTTGCGTACAGTAGAATCGTCCTCCATTTTTCTCCCGGTCAAACGTATGATTTCCTGCAATGGAAAGGTAAGTGGTAAAAGTATGATTCTAAATTGTACAGATTGAGATTAAGAGAAGAAATTCAAACCTATTCTTAATGAGGTAGAACAATATTCACAACGGAAACAGCCGCGGTGGAAAAATTTCCCTTCAGCGCTAAGTCTCTCCATCAAATAAACCCTCTTGTTGCAGAAATGACACATCTCTGAACCACCTTGCGCGGGCAACGATATCGTAGGTTTAATGTTCTGCAAGAAAAATTTGGGATAGTCAAACTGTTAAATTTGTATGTTAATAAGAAAGAATCGTAGTCAGCACGTAAGCGGAATTACTTTCAATCGGACATATCTTAGGATCTGTAGTTAGCAAATTTATGGGATACGGCATTAGTCAAAATTCTAATCAAATCACGGGTATTTTAGTTTAGTATTCAAACAAGGAGAATTGTAAGTGTAATCTATTTGAGGGTGCGTTTAGAAGCGGGAGAATCCTTTTCCACTCTTTAATAAGGAGATTCAATTCGACCTAATTCACCACACTGATTATTCAGATCGCTTTGAACTTCACGAACATTTACTTGCATTCAGTTATACTCGATGTACCTGCATAGTTTGCTTTATGATCGTTTACACTAAACACACCCTGACGCTATTCGATACATACATTATACAAGAACATATTTCTTACACCCTAAATAGCATGTAGAATTTACGGTTTCGATGAAACGAACAGGTACATGAATTATTGCATGAAATTGTATGAAGTACGCAATAAACGATCACAAAAACTTCGACATCTTGCTGACTATATCCTCGAGTATTGAAATTCTGGAACATCGTATTTACCGATTTCTGCACCTTGGGCTCCGCGTCCTGACTTTTATTCGAAAACTGCTCGGCCATAGCCGAGACTTTATTGTGCCCGAGCACATTACCCTCTTTGATCTTCCTGTCAATATTCTTCAGGGTAGTGTCAATATCAGCGTACTTACTATCTGACTCCTTCTGATCCCGTCCCTTCTTCTCCATCTTGATTTGTCGAGCTAAAAACTGAATGAAGCATATAGACGTCTGAAAAGTTTGGATTATCAGCTAATGCTTCATTTTTTATATGCTAACCTGTTCTCGACTCCACTTCGGCACTCGTTCCACTTTTTCGTGTCGAACCGATCGACCCATTTTATTCTCTTCGATTTTCTTCTCAATTTCTTTCACGTTCCAGTCAGTCTTCTCAATTTTACCTGTACAGTTCAATGATATAATTATATTACACCCTTTTCATGTAATGTATGGGATACCATATATTAGAAATATTTAAAGGTAAATTTTTAAACAAATTGTTTTACATATGTTATCTTTAAGTATAAGAAAGTAATTTATCTTTGTGCTGAATATTTTGTATGTTGAATGTGTCATACGTATGATATGTATCATACATATGTTTTATGTTGTGTATGACATGTGTATTATATGTATCATATGTATGTTGTATCTTGTATGTTGCATATTATATGTATTACATGTATGTTGTTGTGTATGTCACGTGTATTATACGTATCATACGTATGTTGTGTCATACGTATCATATATATACAATAGAATACAAACCAATGGCACGTAGAAGATCTCTAGGCTTCTTTTCAGATGGAGTGGATCCCTTCAACTTGTCCTCAATATTCTTTATTCTACCAGAGAATTCTTCATCTATACTGTTCCTACGATGACCAGCATGTATCTTGGGTTCTCTATCCTACAAAGGAAAGAACCCAATGTGAAATAAATTTGAATACATTCATAACTAAAGACAATCACAATTGGTAAAACTTGTAAAGAAGCAAAAATGCACCACCATTTATAATCACAGCACATGTACAAAAAAGAAACTGAAAATTTCAATTATATACGTAGATTAATAATTAATTATTAATTCATTTACTTCTTTTTTTCATAATCTGTCTTGTTAGTGTCGTAGTGGTCGGAAAGATATGTAAGTGTATTTTATTCGTGTTACTATAAAACTTATATCTTGGTGAGAGAGTAGTTAGCGATTTTGGAGTTGTTGCACTCTTCAATGTTACTGGCACATTTATCATGCACGTCATTTTGAATTTTATCTTCCCCTTTTTACAGTGAATCATCGCACGTTCATTTGCAGCAAAACAATTGAATGAACAATTCACAGCACGCTATAATAAATTAGTAATGTAAATGTACAATTCTTAGTTATTTGCATACAACAAAATCAATATCAAATCTATTATTACATTATAGTTATTGAAGAAGTCTCAGTGACGTTTGTTAAATTTTGTTTAAAAAAAAAAAACGAAGAATAGAAAACCAATATATACACTCCAAAATCATTCACTTTCCAGCTTACTGGGTACAATATTTTCTGTTCTAGGTATTTCACTCTATCCTTGAAATCCGGTGCTGTCTGCCGGTACAAGAATATCGAATAATCTTCGAATGGCTCGTCTTTCTCGCGTTTTGCATTTGCTTGCAGCATCTGCATACTTTTGTAGAATTGCTGCGTCGCCATGTGTCGCAAATATTGCCGCCTTCTCATACGTTCAGCACGATTTTTCTCTATGTCCGCGAGTCTCTTCTGTCTTTCCTCCTTTACGTACACCGTGAAATAGTAAGTGATATTAATACAAATCTATCTGTAGTTCCTTTTTTTTCTTTTCAGTTTTAACGTTCATCGATTATTTACACAGTTTGTATATTTCTTGTTACACGGTCTCTATCTAATTTTTATACAATCACAACGAACAGGGTACTGTTACGAAAAACAGGCTAAAGCTCTTCAACCTGAGTTGAAGCTACGCTAAAGAATTTATCATTTTCTTTCAAAATTGTTATTTTTATTTTCAAGGTTCATTTTCTTTCTTCTAACAGGATACTATCGTAATAACTGGGACAGGATTCTACGCAATCCGTTCTAAACGAAAAGTCTTTTTTAGTTGTAGATAAGACAAATACAAAAGCTGACGTGGAAAATATATTATGACATAAACATATATTATAGAAAAAATTTATAACATAACCGAGAGCTTTTGTAACGTCCTGCTGATACTTTGGCTGACTATATGAAGCGACTAGAACGCAATGACTTCCTTCTGCACCATGGTAATGGTAACTCCAATAATTATGAATAACAACGATACGATTATCCCACGATATATAAGTGCTTCGATCTTCTGCCACCGTGACTATAGGATATAAGCATTGTAAGTTTCGTGTGTGGAATGTTAGTGTACAAATTTTAACACCTCATGGAATAATTTTTCATTTTTCATTCCATGAAGCGTTAAAAATTCAACCCTTTGAATCAATTTCTGAAGCTTTTAATTTTAAGAACCTTTTAATTTATGGATGCAAAGGGTTGGATTAAAATATACAGGATACAACTGGTAGTACAAGTATGAAAGATGATTCTGCATTCAATAGTTGAAAATGTAGATTGCATATCTGACTTTAAAATGTACAAAATCCGATTCAAACTGATCATATAAACGCTCTGTGATTCACTTCAAGATTGTAATACATTAACAGTGGAATGTTGAATGCTTCAAACTTAGAATACTTCAAGATTCGACTTAAGAGTGGTTTGCAGAGTTTCAACGAAAAATGTGGATCTTCATACAAATCGTATTCTTTGCAGACATTGATGTATGATAAAAATAAACATTCTGATGATTTTTAATTGACTCAGCCTCTTAAAGTGCTGTGAAGTGTTTAACAAATAGTTAAGCTGAGAAATTGAGTCCTCATTGTATTCTACATTTGCAACTTATTTTTGCAGAATCCTTTGTCCTTTGTACTATCAGTTATTCGCTACCTAAACAATAAAAAAGAATATTTTAAACCTTGGATGATCTGCTAGTTTGTAAAAACATATGATTAAAAATTTATGAAACAAAAAGTCTGGTGCGTATCTGATGAGGTTATTCCTTGATGAGATGTTAAAGTTTCGAGGACACTTACCACTGTCGCGCCCATCTTCTCCGTGCTTCGTCTTTTTCGAGAACGCCGGCTAATTGTGTCTCCCTTCTTATCCGCGGGGTTCATATTTTCGTTATGTCGCGATCGTGAGTGTCTCGTTCTCGTTGCGCTATCTTGCCTGACGATACGGTCAAGTAACTGGACCTTTTGGTCAGGTGTTAAATGGCTCAATTGCTTACTATGCGTTGGTCTTTCTTCGTTTTCGGGTTCCTTAATGAAAAAAACGATCAAACGTATTGTTATACGATCACGCGAATGCTGCTACTGTTACGAAGGCAGTAACGCTATTTTTGAAAACGATATAATTATAGCCTCGTTAACTTTACTGTTATCCGAATGACATTTATGAATCCTATTGATATTAGATGGTGATTTAAATATTCTCTTCAATAACGATGCAAGTATATTGTTCTGAAGTTTATTTCTGATCCAGCTTATCTCTAATCTGTCATCCACTTCTGTATGGTTTGCGCTTAATGATATTCTGTTGTTATTATGGTCTAGTGAGTTGATGGTTTCTTGTGACAACGTTCGAGGAATAAGGTGTGAGAATGATTCTGATCTTCGGTCATGAACGATGTACGACGGACTACGTTTCCAATAGGACATAGGATCGGTTCTTGGATGAGGATTAATCCTGCTTGTTAAAAAGTGTTCTGACGACTGTAAATGTTTCGCACACGTTAATGACTATCAAACACGGGAGCTAGTTAAAAATCTTCCGATTTTTAACATCGTGCGCTTACTTACTAATTTCGGATGTTTTATATACGGGATTTCACCGCGGAAAACTTCGTATATCTGTGTGAGGTAGGAAAACATGGCGAGTTTATCGGGGACGTCGCATTGAGCCATTTCCTCTCCTGTCATTATCTACAAAATTCAGCATACAAATTAGTTTTAATATTCTACACTGTATAAATTAGGCGATTCCAGAAGTCTTGATATAATTTTCGATAGCAACACTTTGAAAATTTCAGACTGTATCAAAACTTCTGCAATCATTTAAGCAGAGCTTACTGGAGGTATGCCCAATTCTTTCTCCAAAATATCAAAGGCCAACTGGTTGTTCGTTACCGGGTCGTTCGGGTTTAAACTGTGAAAGTCTATTAAATCTGGACAGTATCTGTGAATGATTGCACAAATAGCCAGACCACTCTTGAAGGAGGCACCCATATCTTCTATCTGAACCGAGTCGTAAAGCGCGACTTGTTTCTGCAGCCAGCGAAGCAGTGTGTCCGGATGCACTTGCGAATCTCCACGGAGATCTACATTTATAATCAAATATATAAATATATGCATTCAATGGGATTCAATAATTGTAGAGTAGTGAAATTTACCACGGCGACGTCGTTTCTTAGGTATGTCGATGTCGGATTGCACAGGAGGCTGTTTAATGCTATCCGGGTCGTCTGTATCCAGCAGACTTCGTACTTGTATTGGCGATACAGAAGATACGTTTAAATTGGGATACCTTAAATAGAATTATTGCAATTTGAAATGTATTACAATTATTTGGAGAATAGTTTTATTAAAGTTTAGAAAATTATATTTTTTAACTGTTCACATTTTTAATTCTTGTATAGTTAATTTTGGATTCTAGTATTCATCCAAAGTATTTATAGTATTTTAGTATTTTAGTATATAAAAGAACTTGTTAACACATTGAATGCCACTTTTAAATAGTGGAGATTTTATTCAACAAAATTATTGACTAAAATAAATGTCTCTTGTTTATTAAACAAAATGTCTCTCACTAAAATAAATGATCTATGTAAAAGTTCATAAGTTATCCAGAGTGATAGAGTGTTAAAATATAAAATAAATAAGTACATTGTCAACACAAGGGTTAATAGCCTAAACAGTTAGTAAAAGTACATACTTTTATTTTAACTAAATGTATATTATACTGTAATAGCATCACAAAGAAATCAAAGTACGTATAGTATTAGAGTACCAAAGTAGTTCATGATACCTCGTGTGAGGATCTAACGTGTATGCTGCATAATCTCTATTGAGGTTTTCGGGGGTGGTTTGTCCAAGTAACCTATAGATGGATTCTCGTTCTGCAATCACTTCTAACGGCGACACAGAGGCACCCCATCCTTTAATCGCCCAACAAGCATCCAAAGAGCTCAGGAATCCCCTCGCACAACCGGATCCCGTTGGCCAAAATGGCTGAAAATGATTTTTCCTTTGAATTTCATTTCAGTAAAAGCAATAAGTAAAGATACAATTTTTATTTAATATAATTATTGCTATTTAGTAGTGTTAATTTGCAGAAATAATAATAATGAAATTTTATAGGTTCTCCTCTATAAAGTTAGCTGTAATACTGTATTCTGAAGAATCTAAATTATACAAATTTGTAAAATATATTACAATTAAATTTTAAATAAGTTTAATGACCATATTAAAGTTTAAGTTTTGATATCCGTGGTTTAGTAATAAAATTGTAGAGGCATGAAGGTATGTTCTTAATAAAGATGTCCAGCGCTACCTCTAGTAAACTGTCGCCAACGAGGATCATAAGTAATCTGTGGCCACGTCGTTCCAAAACTCGGCTAGCATTCTCTGCCGCGTACATAGACGTAAAATCGAACATAGCTACGTCTGGCTGTCCATAATGATTCACTGCGAATTCCATATCCATCATTTGGTATTCGGTGGAGAATTCGGCCGCCTCTCGAGCATAATGCATCAATGCCTCACGATCTACATTCTCTTTTGCCAACAATTTTGCCGTGTCTGCATGATCCTGAGTTCACATTAAAAATTCATGTAATCAACTTATCATTTACAATCTAGCCTTTCACAAACTGAACTGATCAATTCCACTTTCACCCTGTTAATCTACTTATTTATGTAACAAATGTACAAAAATGTACATCATTCAATGCAAAATAATATTCAGTAACTTAATTTATTACATATAGAACAATGCTTACAAGTTTATGTAAAGAATTTATTAAGCAATACTCCACTTTTACAGGTTTAGACAAGAATTATGTCTTGCTTTTATTTTGCAGAATTGATCAATCCTAATTAAAGAGTTCTTGTGGAGAGCACTGTAAGTGGAAAAAGTTTTTTATTGGAAAATGTTCTGTGTGTCATTGAAAATGATATAGTATACATGAGTACAATTTCTCTTTGTAAATATTTATCAAGTCATAATAGATCACTGGTACATGCTGCTACGTTTGATATCATCTTTAACACACTATAAGTACTGATTCAAGTACTTGCTAATTTAGTTTTCTACATAAGTAAACTAAGGATGAAACAAATCTTCAATGTTTCAATGAATTTAGACATTAAAAAACACAGTAAAAATTACAGAATCTTTTTAACTTGTCAAGTCATTTAACATATCACATATTAAAATCTTAATCACATTCAGTAATTAAGTTTTGTGAGAGTAAGTCAGATTTTCTTTACTCTTGATGAATTTGACTTTACAGTGTTCTCCACAAGTCTTCGGCTCTACAAGGATGCAATGAAGTACCTGCAGAATTACTCCTTTGTCAATGAGACTGTGCTTTTTGGCAGTCATAACAAAATAATGAGTATCGTCCTTATAATATACAATATTTTCTAGATCTATACCAGTCTCTTGGTACAATTCTTTGAAGAACTTCTGATTGAAGATAAAGGCCACTCCACTGATTTCTTCTACCCGTGCCTCTGCCTCAGTTCGCTTATTTATGAAATTCGCTGTTATGGCGATAGCCAGTTTACCTCGAAATTCCTTGCGCTTGAAACCTTCCAGAGTGTTTCTTTTACCGTCTGCACCGATTAATACGTCGAATTCGTACTGAGAAACTGGATGATCAGACGGTGTAGTTTTTGCTCTCCAACCAATTTCTGAAACAATTTGTGTAAGTCAAAATTTTCATATTACTTGGAGTAGTGACGGACGTGTATTTACGGGAAGTAGCCAATTTTTCAACTTGAGAAAATTATTAATCCTTTAATTTATTGTAACGATGATTTTTTTGTAAACGTTTGAATTTATTATGTACTTCTTCAGTGTCATAATCAATGAAAGACATTACAATAGGGTGACCTCACGACACGAGTATCTTTCAAATAACGTGATACTTATATGACTCTTCCGAATCTCTTTTGCTTTCGTACTTTAAAAATACACACATTACTTAATAATATCCTGTTTAAAGAAGTCAAAAATGTTAAGTCGTTGCGAAGATTTTAAGAAAAAACCGAGTGGCTGTTTCGTGCGCTCTTCCTTGCTTTATGTATATTAATATACTAATTTGTACACAATGTTTATATTTTATGTAGTTCTTTTTAGTGCATATACTAACTGTATATATTAACTGTTACATGTATTAAATGTTTGCCAATTTATTTTATCTGGTTAGTGAATATCGAATGAGGTAACTATCAGAAAACTTCACGGGTCAGGAGGTTTGAAGTCTCAGAACTATGCGATTGAAAGGGGTTAATTGCACGTTAGATAGGCAACACTCACTGCCTTCTTCCTGGTTCTCCGGTGGCGGTATCAAAGAATCGAAGCTTACGCTCTCGTGGAACTCAACACCGAGGATCAAAGCGACTTTAAGCAAGATACACTGAAGCTGTCGGATGCTGATGTGATCGATGGACCCGGCGCAAAACTTCCCGAAGAATTTCTTCGCTCCCAAGCCGCGTAGGTCTTGAATAACGAAGGGCCAAAGGTGAAGAACGTTGTTTCTGGACATTCGATCCCGTTTCTCGACTACGACGACTTTCGCTCCCAATAGTTGCGCTTCTATCGCTGAACGGAGACCGCAGGGACCTCCTCCGATGATCAACACCTAAAAAATGATCAGTTATCTTACTTTCTTCATAATTATCAAACTTCAGATTTTGTAAATAGTTTAATAAACCTTTTGTAAATTTTTGAATGAGATAAAATTTCAATATTAGGTATAATTGTATTATTGCAATATTAGGATATGTTTTGACCTTGGTGAATTCGATATACCATATCTTGTTCGCAAAGATGAAAATATAATTTCATATTGCCAGAATTAATAGTTGGAAAAGTCATTGTGAGAGTTAAAATTGTGAATGAAGGCAATCTCTTTCATTGGCAAGTTCAAGGTCGGCAGATTGAGTATCTATCGTGGAAAATGATGACGTAACTAGATATAAGCGTATTCAGATCACTCGATCGTGTCTTTGTCAAGCTGATGACAATGACTTTGCGCTGGGTCGTTGAACTTCCTTTATATTATACTTAACGAGCATTATGCTTTAATGAGGTTGTGATCCACTGTTTACTTGATAATTTCGTTTTATTACTAATGTTATTTGTTTTATTATCCTTGCAATATTTCTCTTTGTTGGATCACTTTTAAAATTAGCAAATTTTTATCTAAGTTTGTACTATTATTTCTATTATTAAATAATGTGAGTTGAGTTGTAAAAATTGGTTGTAAAAGTTAGAAATTCATATTGTTTCATAAGACCAATTCTAAATAGTTTATAATATTGTAACTTATAATATGATTTTATAATATTTTCATTTTATACTATTTTTATATTTTTACACTCTACAGAAGTCATTTCTATATTTTCTTTTCAAGTTATATTCCTCGATTAGTAATAATTATAATTTAAATAATTTTTGATAGGTTAGATTCAGAAAGCTAGCTAACTATGTCTTTATAATTACATTAATTAGAAATTGATTTACCCTCGTATTGGGACATGCTTTCCCTCGATTATAGCACTTGTGATTGGCCCTCTGATCGAACTTCTTCCACAGAGCTTGCGCTTTCCAAGATCGTAGCTTCGCTTTCAATTTCGGGTAGAATTGAGTGATCGTGTTTGGCCTGATTTTCAATATTTCACAGAGGTCCCTGAAGTGTCCCAATATAGACTTTAAAGTGGTCGCGTTGCAGAATTGATCGAACATATCGTTGGCTATCGCCATTTCTGACAAATTCATCGTTTGCTTTCGTCCTGATTGTTGGTGATCCATTTTCTTCAATCTGTGATCGCAACTTGATTCGATGATTATACTGTCAGTCTGTCATTACCTGCAACATTTCAATTATTTATCTTATACAATATCTGTTATATCTTTTCGTATACCGACTGTTAAAAAAAATTCTTCATTTTTGAATTTCAGAAGAGAAATATATTTATATTTTTATAAATGAAAGATTTTACAAAGATTTTTACAGGGTGTCAACTAGTGTAGTGTAGGTCCACAATTTTTACAAATTATTTAGTCATAAAAAATTGAGTATGTAAAAATAAAAAGTTTGCGAATAACAATAATTGTTCACAAAAATAACCATTGTTCATAAACACAGTAATCATTGTTTATATAAACAGTAACAGTAAGAACGATTACACAACAATTTCCCTCAAACATCAAGCTTTAAATTGATGTGTCATATGCATCGTTTCGTGTCACTTTTAAGTCATCAAATCATGTCAGCTTTTATGTTTCCAAATGGGTCATTGTTACTTACAACTGGCAGCCGGCCATTTTATATTTAGAATTTTAATGAAGCGTTTATGTAGGTGTTTTCATCTCGAGCTACAAATTGATACACCATAAGTATTATTTTGCAATGATTTGTTTTCAAAATTAACTTCGAATGATATAGTTTCTGATTAACATTTAGGAAAATTGTGGAGCTTTACTTTGCTTGAGATTCATAAGGTACTCATTATTTATTTATTCTTGTATTTTTTTTTGTAATTTATTATTTATTCATTATTTATGTATTCTTTCTTTTTATAGTGTTTTAACCGCTTGCCTTAGAATATCGCACGTAACTATTGAAATGCAATCTCACATTTTCACCACGATTGAATTTCTCGTTTAATTTCAATTCCTACCTCTTCATCAATGACCACCATATAGAAAACGTTCCTAACATTAGAACACTCTTTGCTGGTCTTAATGTTACAACAATAATTAAGCCACCCTGTCTGACGCACTCGCTAAGAAAATTATAAGTTAAGGGGTTAATTTAAACATAAGGGGATGTTCATGAAGTTAACGAGTAATTTTTGCAGAAACGAGCTCTGATATTATTCATTATGCAGCACAACGTATTATTCATTATTTATTTATTTTTGTGGTGTTGTTTTAATTCAAATATAAGGGATGTTCATACAGTTAAGGTTAACGAGTAATTTTTGCAGAAACAAGCTTTGGTATTATTCATTATTTATTTATTTTTGTGGTGTTGTTTTAATTCAATTATAAGGGGATGTTCATACAGTTAAGGTTAACGAGTAATTTTGCAGAAACGAGCTTTGCTATTATTCATTATTTATTTATTTTTGTGGTGTTGTTTTAATTTAAAAATAAGGGGATGTCCATACAGTTAACGAGCAATTTTTGCAAGAAACGGTACATGAAAATTTGCCCTCGGATTTCCTGTGTATCTCCGCAATTCACCTAAATAGCATTGCACCAATCGATAGTATTTACTGCCATCAGCAGCCTCTTTGCGGTTTCTTCTCGTGCTTCGCGTGACGCCTCCTTTTTCCGCCTCGAACACGATACCAGATTTACCCTGGAATTTTCCAACGACGTTTTATTTCCGTCGAATATTTCTGTCTCTTGGCAGAAGGACAACGGAGAAGAAGCAAAACGTCGCCGCTTACAGACAACAACAGATCTCTTTTGGAATCAAGAATGCTTCGGAGTGTCGCATTAAAACGATTGACTCTTCGAGAACTTAATCCTTTATCATTTATAAGGCTGGTTGGATAAGGCGATGGTTATAACCAAAGTTAAATTAGGCAATTACGTGTACTGCGAATTTATTTATATTTTAATTCTCTATTAAAATATGGAGAATATATTTTTATACAATTTTAGGGAGATTACATTTTGCAAGCTTAGGAATTTTTAATTAGGTTGTAAAATTGGGAGAGTTTACAATTTTCGGTAATTTTTAATTCTGAGGCAATTTGGAAATTTATTTATTTTCTTAGATTTGCAAATAGCAACATTTTTTCAGTTTTCAACTTGGAAATTGGTGAATTTAATTTGTTTCAGAATTTCAAATTTTTTAATTTTCTAATTTAAGATTTTCAAGTTTTCAGGATTCTGGTTTCAAATTTTCAACTATACAAATTTCGGGATTTTCAAATTTTTAGATTTTCAAATTTCCAACAAATTTCTGGATTTCAAAATTTCTGTGTATTTGGATTATTAAATTTAAAAATTTCCATATATTCAAATTTCTAGATTTTCAAATTTTCAAATTAAATCTTTTAACTTTGCCATCTACTCAAATTTCCAAATTCATAAATCTTTTAACTTTCCACGTATTCAAATTTCCATATCTTTAATTCTCTTCGATTTCTCAAATTCTCAATTCGCCCCTCAATTTCAATCTCAAATTTCCCCAATCAACACATCAAAAATTAAATCTAACCATGATTTTATTCAAGAAACACTGATGACTTTCGTAAACCTGAATTATGACATATAATTATGAAAAATAATGAATTATAGCGTCTAGACAGATCTAACGGAACACGCAATAATGATAATATGATGCACGATAATTCCAAAGTCCATCAATATTTCCCGCGTTTCAATAAAGTCGCTGAAGGTACGCGTACCTTGATATGCAACCGTCTGTATTGTATAATAATCGATACGTCAAAAATCAAACATAATTTCCGTCACATTTCATCGGCATGCATGACATTGCTTTTATCCGTCTTGCGAAACTACGAACCAATTGCTCCTATTGATTTTCCATTATCTCAGATAGGGCAACCCTATCGGGGAACGCTTAGAAACGAGCCAGTAAACTGGCTTTATAAAGTGGCAACTGTGATGAGGAGAAGAAGATCTAAAAATATGGGAATGGTTCTATTTTTGAGATCAGTTAAAAAATTATAAAGCAACGTTTTGAAACTATTTTGAAATTTGAGAGAGATATAAGTTATTCAAATTGTTATAGTTTAATATGTAACATTCTAAATAAAATTATTTTGAAATTTATAAATAACTTGTTTGTAACTTTACATTTTGAAATGTAGGAATTAAGAAATATTCTGACAGAAATTATTCAAATTGTTACAAATTAATATGTAACATTCTAAACAAAATATTCTGAGACTTGTAAATAACTTGTTTGTAACTCTACATTTTGAAATGTAGGAATTAAGAAATGTTCTGACAGTAATTATTCAAATTGTTACAAATTAATATGTAACATTCTAAACAAAATATTCTGAGACTTGTAAATAACTTGTTTGTAACTCTACATTTTGAAATGTAGGAATTAAGAAATGTTCTGACAGTAATTATTCAAATTGTTACAAATTAATATGTAACATTCTAAACAAAATATTCTGAGACTTGTAAATAACTTGTTTGTAACTCTACATTTTGAAATGTAGGAATTAAGAAATGTTCTGACAGTAATTATTCAAATTGTTACAAATTAATATGTAACATTCTAAACAAAATATTCTGAGACTTGTAAATAACTTGTTTGTAACTCTACATTTTGAAATGTAGGAATTAAGAAATGTTCTGACAGTAATTATTCAAATTGTTACAAATTAATATGTAACATTCTAAACAAAATATTCTGAGACTTGTAAATAACTTGTTTGTAACTCTACATTTTGAAATGTAGGAATTAAGAAATGTTCTGACAGTAATTATTCAAATTGTTACAAATTAATATGTAACATTCTAAACAAAATATTCTGAGACTTGTAAATAACTTGTTTGTAACTCTACATTTAGAAATGTAGGAATTAAGAAATGTTCTGACAGTAATTATTCAAATTGTTACAAATTAATATGTACATTCTAAACAAAATTATTCTGAGACTTGTAAATAACTTGTTTGTAACTCTACATTTAGAAATGTAGGAATTAAGAAATGTTCTGACAGTAATTATTCAAATTGTTACAAATTAATATGTACATTCTAAACAAAATTATTCTGAGACTTGTAAATAACTTGTTTGTAATTCTACATTTAGAAATGTAGGAATTAAGAAATATTCTGACAGAAATTATTCAAATTGTTACAAATTAATATGTAACATTCTAAACAAAATATTCTGAGACTTGTAAATAACTTGTTTGTAACTCTACATTTAGAAATGTAGGAATTAAGAAATGTTCTGACAGTAATTATTCAAATTGTTACAAATTAATATGTAACATTCTAAACAAAATCACTCTGAAACCCATAAACAATTTGTTTGTAATTCTACATTTTGGAATGTAGAAATTAAGAAACATTCTAACAGCAATTTAAATGTAAGTCAATATAACTTTCTCAGTGAAACCATTTTAAAACGTATAAACTAGAATATATTTCTCCATTGCTATTAGTATTTTATTAATCCTAAAGTGTCCCCAGTTTTAATTTTCGAATTATGTTTATTAACTGTAGCAGACTCTCCTTATATTGCCATAGAGCCCGTAGGATCGAACAGATCTAAATTTTATTAATCCCTAAGGGTCCGCAGTTTCAACTTCCGAATTATGACTATTAACCCCTTCCCGTGCCATTTATTTATCAGATGCGTCTGTCAAGACTAACTATTCAAAACTATAACATTAAAACGAAGAAAGAAAATTAAAATGTGCGTATTTTATATTCAAGGATCCTTGATAATGCAATTTATAGTTGGACCTAAATTTCAAGTTGAAGAGTATTTAAAATTTGAGTGAGGTTTTTCATATTTGAGAGCTACAAGTGCGTTATGCGTAAGACTCGTCAAAGCACAGGAAGAGGTTAATCCTAAAGTTTCCGCAGTTTTAACTTTCGAATTGTGTCTATTAACCGCAGCTCTCCTTATATTGCCACAGAGCCCGTAGGATCAAACAGTCCTAAATTTTATTAATCCTACAGTGTTCCCAGTTTCAACTTCCGAATTATGTCTATTAACTGCAGCAGCCTCTCCTTATATTGCCGCAGAGTAGAATCGAACAGTCCTAAATTTTCTTAATCCTAAAGAGTCTCTAGTTTCAACTTCCGAATTATGTCTATTAACTGCAGCTCTCCTTATATTGCCACAGAGTCCA